CTACTGCCAAATTTCTTTACTAACTAGCTTTAAAAAGTTAAATGCTTAGAGACAACCCGCTGATGCTTGCATTAACCAAGTAACTGTCTTCAGCTGTAAGATGGTCACAGCTCACACAACCATGGTGTGTTTTGTAGGCCAGCACAGCTACACCAGACTGAGTTCCAAGGCAAGCACACAAAGAGTTAGGAGGTGCTATAATTAAAGTATATAAGGTTAGGAGATGCATAATTACGTTCAACCATAATTACACCCACTGGTTACTTTGCTTTATGATATAGTCTTCAATTACATGACCACCTCTTTTCTTCTTTTCCCTATGGGATCCATGCCTATGTCAGGACAGTCTACATGGGACAGCGCAGCAGGACTGCCCAAATTGCCATTTAGCACACTGGGAAGTGCCTTTGCATTGCATTCTGTTCAGGACAATCTACCTTCTTGTGAAGTTAGGCTCGCAATAGAGATGTCTGAGGCATAAGAAGTCTGAGCTCACAGTCTAGAATGTTCTCATGCAGATTTGCAAAAAAATTCAAATTTGCATGTCTGGCTTCCATATTATTAAATCGTATATTTATAAATATCTGCTGACAGCAGCATCTTTATGAGCTGCTTTCTTAACTATAGGATAAGAAACTACTTACTGGGACTGAACTTATTCACACAAAAGGCCTTATCCAGCCTCAGTTTCTGTAGTAAAATTCTTACCGACTAAAATGGGATCAGGATCATGCCTCTGGCACGCACTATCATGCATTGCTCCCAACAGAGCATTGTTCAGTTCAGCCAAACCAACAGGAAAAACTGCCAGAGCAATTTCTCAAATCAAAGCACAAATACATGCACATGGCATGACAGACTGGTAGACTACTACCATTGCTTACACTGAAAAAGTGAGTCGTCTCTTCAGTGAAAAAGAAGTGGGAAATCTTTTTGTGTGCATTCTGAAATGCAGAGTGCAGCACTCGTCTTTTACAGGCACTCACATGTCAGCATCATAAAGAAATATTTATACTGTGAGCAGCTAATAGTAATCTTTTGTAATTGCTGCTTATTAACATCCTCATACTTTTGAAGCATGGTAGAATCATAGTTTCAGTGATACTTTTGAAATAACTAATGCAAGGCAATACGAAGTGTAACCATTCATAATTTTAGGCTCCCTGTCTGAAATAAATAATCTATATACCAACTATACTGGTGGTACTAAAACACAGTCCCAAATGACAGGCTAACCTAAATCTGATTTTTAAAAAGATATCATTAAACTATATTTCTCCTTATAATTTAAAACCAGACAACTAAATCACGGAGCGTACTTGAAAATTCAAGATTACATGCACTGAGTGAAGGATATGAAGACCTTACTTTGGTTTAATTAGTAGTATAACTATCTATCCTGTGAAATAGGAAGAACTGCAACAGAAATTCAAAATATGTGTCTATCAGACAAATATGCAAAAGAGGAGTCCTAACAATAAGAAAACACAGATTTCAGAATTCATGTATTTTTTATTTGCTGTGACTAACCTGGCAAACCATTCTATGAAATAACGTAGTGAGGCTACTTGCCTTCCTGCAGCAGAGCACTTGGCATGGCATTCTTGGCATCACAAATTCCATCAATAAATCTCAGCAAGATTTTTGGCAGCAAGAACAGAACTATTTCTACCTTCCTTTAATCACACTGGACAACCCAGAGCTGTTATGATTCAGTGCCCCTGGAACAACTGGAGAAGGTTTTTTGATGTATTACATTACACCAGCATAAATAAGATTAAAGATCTTACTATATATCTGGAAACAAAACAAGTATTTGGATAAAGTTGTATTCCCTTCCTCCATCCTCCCATAGCAATAAATATTTTTAACCTCAATCTGTTATTTATATGCTGTTTATAAACAGTTGTCTTACCAATATCTCATTTACTCTAATTCATAATCTTGATATGAATGATATCTTTTCATGTTCCCACTTCCAAAAGTTAAAGTATCATATCAGATTTGACTATCAAGGAAGAATTAACTCTGAAGCTGAAGATTATAATCACCTTCTTGTTTTGTCCTACAATTACTACCCACACAAGTGTCGTCCCACTTTTAGTTTCAACACATCCTCCATACATCCACAGCACATACACGCTGTTGTCATTTGGCAAGTTGCTTTCCTGCCCTTTGATCCTTTCTTAGTCTGTGACATCTACATTTGTGTGTCATCCTTTTATCCACGTCTCCAAGTGTTAGACACAGAGGAGCAGCCACATAGATATCCAGCCCATTTCACTTGCAGCAGCAGCCTTGTCAGTAGTTCTTCTCACCAGTAATTCACAACTCTGGCTTTGATGCCATACCACTGTTTTTGAACATACTATTGTTTGAAATAACTGTCTTGATACTGTCCTTCAGGCTTTAGCTTTACAGCTCTTCCCACACTGTGAGATTTCAGGTCTAAATGAGAACACAGAGGTAGTACAACACATATAATTATTAATATTAATAGGATGGCTGAAATAAATCTATCCCTTACACAGAGATATCTTCTCTTATTAAAGTTACCTTAGCAGACATTTAAATATTTGGTGAACCTCACAGTTCATTTATTCTGTAAATTCATGCTGAGCAGACAGCTGACTTAACAAAGCTCCACTGGCTTTTAGCAGACCTGTATCAGAGAATCCCTGCTGAGGATTCATTTCCATCCAACAGCTACCTGAAAACACATCTTATTCATGTTAGAGTAAAACTCTAAACCTGGCCATTCTATTACAAAAATCTGTTTTTTATGGAAAGCAATATGTCTGTAAGCATCTCAATGAAAAAAAATTAATAATTTTCTCCATTAATATTTCAGTGAATAGTTCTCAGCTAATATGTCAGGAATTGTTCAAGTTCTACCACTGACCAAAATATAAATTATACAAAAAAGTCTCATGAAATAAATGTTGAGAAAAAAAGATTATATTGAAATCCAAAGCTCCAATTAAAAGTATTAAAACATTTCAACCAGTACCAACTCTGATAAACCATTCCAAAAAACTCCTTCTCACCTACTTTTATGAACTCTCACCTAAACTGAGAAGTTACTTTCTACATGTAGTAAACTATAGTTTGGGCTTGCAGACCTGACTGCAAGTTAGGCTGCCCAACAAGTCCTATTATAATGACCTGTTTTCAATTTCTTTTAAATTTGCTGAACTGTAACAGTTTGAGCTGAAGTTCTCCATGCTGAATATGCTCCCCAGGCTGATTTCAGTGAGGAAAATGTTCCCTGAATTATTTTGGCTGTCTCTGAAATCAGAGAAAAGTATTATACATATTATTTCAACAATTAAAAACATCTGATAGGAACGCTTTAAAGTAAGATTTGAAACGTGGCAGAGAACAAAAATTGTTTTGAAATGTCCTTTCTGCTTTTGTCATGAAGATACACCTGAATTTGGCCTGGTTATATACCTCTAAGAATATGCAGTTCAGTAAAAACCTGCTGCAGTTATATAGCTAAAAATGTCTAAAATCCCTTGAAATGCTTGAACCTCCCACAGGTTAGACTAAGCTCAACTGCAAACGAGCCATTTTATCCCATGCAAGAGCTCCCTTCAGGCCACAACCACCGAGCTGAAGTTGGGCAGACTATAGTAACAGCTGCTAACCCACTCAGGCTACAGCAAGATAAACCAGCAGAAATGTGGAAGTGCAGCTTGTCCCTTCTGTGCCCTCAGTGGTGAATTTTCTGGCAGCAGATAAGGAAGCCAGATAGAGCTCCCTGTTATTAGTGCAGAAGGAACAATCCACAAGGGAACTGACTGAACAATTTTTCTAGATCTTAAATCTAAAAAACACACTGTACCTTGTGAGCTATTGTAAATTCTGCACTTAAATCTGTGCTGTAGAAAAGATTATCTAGAAAGTATCCCATTATTTCCTTTATGATCTCAGTGGACTATATAATTAAAACCAAAATGTACTTTAGCCTTTTGTTTCCTAGTGTTAGTCATTGTGTCCTTGTGAAATGTATTTCTCTCCATGTCAGGGACTTCTTTTTCCTCCGAGACTGACAATCTAGTCCCTCACTGACAACCACAACAGCACCAGCACATAAGATCTGTGAAACTAATGGCATTACTGACTGAAATGTTCAGCACAAAGGGCCACGGCTCTCTTCACCCAAGATCATTACCTTGTTATAAGAAAATTCAGAGCCAAAAGAAACAAATTACAAGGCTTAGAATTTATTTTAATTTTTATCTTCAATCATCAGACTTTGCTCAAGTGCTCTCAAAGTAAGGGTGGACATGAAAACATGTTGGTGAGTATGTTGAGAAAGCATGCAAAATAAGTAATTCTTTTCATAGCAATTCCTTTTGTGCATTTTAGTCACTGCAAATGCACTAGTCAGCAAAAATAACCTTGAATATTGTTGCTTTCACCATATGAATATTATTCTAGTACTTTATATGTCTCTTTGTATAATAGACAAGAAATACCTTAATTTTATATTTTTGTGTTTATAATAAATGATTCATTCATATTTGTGTTTTCTGGTGAAAAGTCAGATCTATAAAGTTCTTTTGGTGAAGGGAAATTTTATCATCACTTTACTGATCTCTCCCTATTTGTATTCAAATCTCCTGCAGTCATAACAAGCATCTTCTACTTTTCTGGCTGAACATTATTCCTTTCCCCCCTCAAAATTAAACCATCTACAGCACTTGAATATTGGTTCTCTAAAGAAAAGGGAGATGACATAATCCACAATAACTACAGCATAAGGAGATAGGCATCCATGCTTAGATTTTCAAATCCAAAAGAATGTTTGATAGTTGCCAAAATACCTTCTCTAGGTCTAACTTTTTAAATGTAGAGAGGGATATTCTTATCCTTGTTATCCATTCGGTGAAATACTTTAGACAAAAAATGGTCAATAAGAGGAGGACAAAAACTTTTAAATGTTCGGCAAGTTACCATAGTACGGTTTTTCAGATCCTTTAACAATGGCTCTCACTGAGCTCACTAGATCCTCATTCTCTGAAAATCAACTTAAATAACTAAATAACGTAATACATCACTTAAATAACTAGCTTTGGACTCTGTATTTTAACATGTAAAATTGCAGCTATGAAATACTGTTAATACAGGTTACACATAGAGGAGTTACACTTTGTCCTTGGGGAAAAATCAAGTGGTTATTTATATTCATTCCTTCCTTTACTGTCAGCAGAATAAAAAAAAATGTACTCACAAACATAAAACATTTCAAGGTGGAAGTAGCCACAACACAGATAAAGAGGGTTCACAGAGGCAAAACTGCTACCAGAGCACAAGACATAGCCAGGATTTATGAAAAGACATGAAGGGAACTTGTAACCTTCATGCTCAACCTGTATTTGCAATGTAAGATGGTTCAGGTTCTCTAATGACAATCTGATTAAAAGTGAGCACAGAAATGTTATTACCTAGTAAAGACATATCAAAAGAATCATATATTATGCCAAGGTGCGCTGTTGCTTACATTGAGGTATCAATTTGCAAGTCACATACAAAAAGTTTTCAAACACTCTCAGAACCATTTCAGAATTCACTAGCCTGAACTCACAATATTATCCAATTATTAATAAATTTTTGCAACAGCCAAATCTAATTAAATATCAAGAAGAAAATTATATTCTGTTGTCCTTCCTTTTAAACTAAGGAAATTCTTTTTCATTAAGTCTTTAAGAGAAAATTAAGTCTCTTGTTTTCTAAGACATCTTGCTGGTTTTTATGACATACAGCAATATTTCACAAATAAAGTACTTACGTGTTTTATTAAACAAACTGAACAACCTTCCTTAGACAAAATTTATCCTCTGAGGATACTTAGCACATAGCAGAAGACAAAAAGGCAATATAAAATATGAAATGCCTCAAAATTAGGAAATATCATATCAGTTAGATGCTAAGCTCTGCAATAAAATCCTTAGTGAGACACTCAGCACTAGAAATGATTCATTTATTGTTTTACATCTAAAATTTTATTTCTGAAATTTCCAATTCTGCTGCTGCCTAAATTTGTCTTCTATGTTAAATTCTATCTTATCATAGTGCTTCTGCACAAACCAAAACTGACTTCTTATTAATGAAGTCAGCAGTGACCTTTGATGAAACTTTCCATTTTAATTAATGTTGTACAAAATTAAATAAAGAAAAATTATATCAGCAACTGAAACATCTTTGTTATCATGGGAAAGTAATCCAGAGAAGCATCATTTTTGTTACAGATGTGGGCCAGCAACAATAAAAAAAAATGTTTCAATAATAATTTTTAATATTTTAGGAACTTTGTTGATAACTAAACAAATGCTACTTTAATAGACACATTGGGGATTTATTTAGCAAATTATACTACAGTGGCCTAAGAAATCACACCTCTGCAGCTTCCCAAACAGTGTGCTGAGTTAGAGAACTGAGCCCAAATTAATCAAATACGCGTATCAGGCAAGTAGAATTTCTAGTCTCTGAGGTTTATCTAGCACAGAGCACGCTTAAAGGGGCTTGATTTTCTCTTTTCCTCTTTTTGTTTTGAGATACTCATTTGCAGTCTCTGCTTTGAGTGTGGAATGTCCAGAGCTAAAAGAATTGAAAACACAAAGCTACTCACTCTGTCACCTTTTCAAAACCAGGGGACTCCATCACCTTTGGACACCCAGAAGACATGGCACGCTTCTGCTGCAGAAACAGTCTGTATCTTGGGTCCTTGTCAGTTATCTTCTAATTTCAAGACCCTTAAGAATCACAGAATACCAGGCTGTAAGAGGACATCAAATATTATCTGGTCCATGCAAAAGCATGGTCTACACAAGATGGCCCAGCACCCTCTCCAGGTGGATCTTAATAGTGTCCAAAATTGCAGAATCCATCACTTCCCTGGGGAGATATTCCAATGGCCTATTGTTCTGTTAAAATTTTTCCTCTTGCATCCAGATGTAATCTCCCCAGCAATAACTTGTACCCATTACCCCTCCTCTTCTCCATGTGGTTCCTCCTAAAAAGAGAATCTCCATCTTTTTTGTAGCCACCCTTTAAATACCGGAACAGAGGGATAAGGTCTCCCTTGTGCCTTCAAGCTCCTCAAGGCCAAACAACCCCAGTTCCCTCAGCCTTTCTTCACATGCCAGGCTTCCCAGGCCTTTGATTGTCTTTGTGGGCCTTCTCTGGACCCTCTCCAGCCTGTGAACATCTGTTTTGTACACCAGGGACCAAAACTGAACAGTGTTCCAGCTGAGGCCTGACAACCAGCAAGTAGGGTGGAATAATGATTTCTGACAAGCACTGGGCAAAGTGGGATAACTCTTCACCTCTGCTGGTGAAGCCCTTGTTGAAGCCACCCATCCAGTTGCCTTTCTTTGCTGCAGGAGCACACTGGCCACTCAGACTGAGCTGCCTATCCACCAGGATCCCACACTCCCTTCCCACAGAGCTGCTCCCAAGCCGGGTAGATCCCAGCCTGTGCTGCACTTCTGGATTATGCCTTCCTGGATGCAAGACCTTACACTTGTCTTTGTTGAACTTCACACTGTTCTCATTAGCCCACTCTTCCATCTTATCCAGCTGTTCCTGCAGGGTAGTATTCCCTTCCCAAGCATCCACTTCCTCGTGCAGTTTGTTATTATTGGAAAACTTCATCAGGGTACACTTAATCCCATCTTCCAGACCATTTATGAAGGTATTAAATTGTGCTGAGCCCAGTATCAATCCCTGGAGGACCTCACTTGTTGCTGGTTTGAACAGGAGTGATTTCCCACACCACTTTGGGTGCCTTAGGTCAGCCAGGTCCCCACTCACCCGACAGACCACTTGTCTAGACTGTAATGCAACAGTTTCTCCAGAGGAGGCTGTGGAAAGCAGTACCAAGAGCGCTATTGAAAGCCTTGGAAAAATCCAGGTGAACAATGTCCACTGCTTACCCCACATCAATTGTGCAGGTTGCTGTGTTGTAGAAGGTGACCAGGTTTGTCAAGCACAATTTGCCCTTGGTGAAACCATGCTGCCTTTTCCCAGTCATGCGCTTCATCTGACATTTGATAGCCTCCAGGAGGATTAGTTCTGTAACTTTCCCAGGGACAGCAGGAAGACCAATGGATCCATATTTTCCTGGACCCTCCTTTAAGTCCTTCTTGTAGATAGGGGTGACAATAGCTTTCTTCCAGCCTTCTGGAACATCCTCTTATCTCCTCAGCTTCTAAAAGATTATGGAGACTGGCCTCACAATGACATCAGCCAGCTCTCTTGAAACCCTTGGGGGGATATTGTCAGGGCTCATCAAACTGTAGGGTCAAGCTCCTACAAGATCCTAACAGCTCTACCTTCACTGACAGCAGCTGTTTGCATCAGCCTGGATTTTTGTTCCTAATACCAGTGCTGGTGAAGACAGAGGTGAAAAAAGTGTTGAGAACCTCTGCCTTTTCAGCACTGTTGGTGACTGATTCATCTCTCCTGCTCAATAGCAGGCCAATATTTTCCTTCTGTTTCTGCTTGTTGTTTATGTACCTGAAAAACCCTTGCTTGTGGTTTGTGACATCTCTGGCCAACTTCAATTAAGGCTGAGCTTCTGCTTTTTGAACCAGATCTATGCACACCCTGAGAATGCACTTGTAGTTCACAATGGGTATTTGCCTTGAAGAAGATAATATGTGATTTGCCAACATAACTCTTTCCATTCCAGCCTGGGTAATTATTGTAATTTAAGAATTTACAATGCCCAGGCTTTAGACATGCTTTTGAAGAACCCAGGTAGGACTTTCCACTTGAGGCTGACTTTTTTGCCATGAAACCTATGAATGGCTTTGTAGTATATCTCCTTATGTCCAGGATATAGTCTATGAGACATAGTTATATGACTAAACTGACTGGATTTTTCTCTGGTGTGCAGATAAATCTTTCCCTGTAATGCAGACTCATTTTCCCGTGATCCTAGATAAGTCTTGCAATTCTCTGTGTTTTCTCAGTGTTCACCATTAGTTTTCTCTAACATCTGAGGGTGGGTTTTGGTTGTTGTTTTTTCTTCTTCACAGAATGTATCTCTCATAAAGGGTCGGGAATTCTATTTTCACACATCTTTGGGAGAAACTCCCCTTTTTTAACATGTCATTTCTTCACCACACCAGGCTTACCCTTGTATACTAAATTTATGTTTTACCTAGGTGAGAATATCACACCCCTCCCCATAAATGTTCTCCTAAAAAACCTGATCCACTGCATTCCAACTCATTTATCATGTTATCTTTCTATTCAGACTGAACAGATCATTTAGGAAGACCTCTTCCCTTTTTGTGTTCATGGCAGAGAGGTTCCTAGGCACAGCTCTAATAAGAGCTTACTGCACTGGATAGCTGATGGCTAAAATGAAACCAATTTGTGATTTATGCAATTTCCATAAGAAGTCAACCAAACCTAATGTCATTCCTAGGGAATGAAAGAGAGGAAGGCCAGCCACCTTAGACTTAATCCACACTTTTACCATGGATTATTGTAGTTAAATTCTTAAGAGCCAGAAGTTCTTAAGTTCTTCAGACCAGATGTTACTTCTTCAAGTTAAGGGGGACTGCTGAAAGTCTCTAGCAGTGTAAAGTGCATACAGAAAACAACATGAAGTAAAAAAGAAGTTGATTTGCCAGTAAATCGGAAGATCTTCAGATGTGGTTTATATCTTTTTGCAGATTCATGCTTGTTCAATCCCTCCCTTGCTCACTATCTTCCAGTAGAAATGGTGGAGGGGCCTGTGGCTGGCCTTATGCAGGGTTTACCATGCTTGACAGGAAAGAGAATGACCCTGTTCCTGCAGAAATAGACAAGGCATAAACACACTTGGGCAGAAACGCATTCATAATGTGAATACGTATGCAGACAACATACCTGTAACACCTTTCAACTTCTGATGGTTTTCCTTTTCTGTAGAGAATGTCAGCTTATTTGTATAAAAATAACATTTCATTCTAAGAGAAAAATGCTATTTAGTTTAATTGCACTATATTAACTAATATTTTACAGATAGCTGATTCAAACCCTATCATCTCTATGGGTCTTAACTCTGAATTTTCAGTAGGATAAAATTCTTTCATTTCTTGACAAGGCTTGAAATACAAAACCACACATAAAAACACTTACCAAAGTGAATAAAATGTGTTTCTCTTGGTGCATCATTTCAAAACACAATGTGCAATATATCTCAGAGTTGGAAGGGACCCACAAGGATCATAGAGTCCAACTCTTAGCCCTGCACCAGGGCACCCTACACCATCCCCAAGTGTGCTTTTAGACATTTCTCATTAATGTTTTAGGCTAAAACTCTTTCATGTTTATAGAATCATTTAGTTCTTGTAAAACCCTTCTATTACTAACAATATTAATAATATCTTATACATTATTTGGCTGTAAAAATCTGACTAGATTTCTGATCTTTTGCCAGATTTTGGTAGTAACTTATCTTGGATGTTGAGCCATGACTAGTTTTTAGCAAATAAAAGGACAAATACAAATTGCTCAGTTCTTTACCAAGTCCTTTCCCCACATTTAAAGTATACATCTCAGCTAATTTGTTGACTAAATTCCAGAGGACAGCAACGCTTCAATGGAGAGGTGTGGGAGAAGGAGGGGGGGACAATAAGTTTTGTGCCTTACAGTTAGACCAATCAGAAAATAACAGCTCTGCAAAAAGAAGTCATCTGTTAAAACCTAACTGAAATCTGGAAATCCAAAGGAGACAACCAATGAAGAAAAAATAACTGCCTAGTCAAAAATCCCATTTGTAACAATAACTTGGGGTTATTACTCAGTTTCTACTTTCTACAGAGAAAAACAATGCCTTCTTCAACAAGAAATCAAAGGATGAATTTATCTCCTGTCACGTGGAAAAACATCTGTCTGCTCAGTTTTCTTACAAAAGTTTGTAAATCCCACAATTATGCAGTTAAAGACAACTATGTCAGGTTAAAATGTTTGCTTAATTTAAAAGTACATTTTCCAGTTGCTTTTGCTTTCCATTAGTGGTTTAGAAGGCAAGAAGTCCTTGGCAATGAATTATATTTGGCAGTGTTACACCTCTCCCCTGAATAAACACGCAACAAACTTTTTTTGCTAAGATTTGATTTACAGAACTGTAGTTTTAAAAGGAAAGAGGCCCAGGAAATCAATCTGATTCTATTTCACCCAGTTACTCTGAATGAAATCATTGTGTTTGGTGAACATGTATCTTCTGAAAGAGATTTCACTTGTCTTGATAAGACATTGAGAACTGACAACCCCAACTGTTGCGACAAACTGCTTAGAAAGTTGCTTGTCTTCCTCACTGTTAAAAATGCTGTTATTTTGTCTTTGAAATGACTGGCCTCAAATTCTGGCTGACATTCTCCTACTAAGGATTAAAGAGCCTTTACTATGTAATGGCAATACCTAGAGACTGCAAGTCTCTGTTCTTTCTCCATAGTGGATCAAACAGCAGGTTGATTTGTTACAATATCCTATCTCTAGCAGTGGCTAAAAGCAGATGCCTAACAGAAACATGAATAGGGCTGCAATATATGATATTTTCTTCAATATTCTTTGGATTTCCACCCCCTACTTTGTAGGGTCTTCCCAAGGATGAATAAGGTTTTATGTATTTAAATACTCTCCACTGGCTTCTCTTATTTTGAACTTATATATTCTCAGCAAGGAGTTCCACAACTTAACTTTATTCTACATAGAGAATCACCTGTGTTCATCTGGAATAATAAGCCCTACTAGTTAAAAATCCAGACACTAAAATTCCATATAATTGCTGATACAGTATACAGAAGTAGCCTCAGTAACTTGTTCTTAAGCAATATTCTTGCACTCAACCATCATGAGATTCCCTAACCATTCTTTGCTATAGTCTCCTAGCAATTCAGATTGAACAGACTGCTGTAACTAGCCTCTAGATACTTTTGGAGGTCAGTATTTTACAGAATACAGTCCTCCAAGCTGTAGTTTTAACCTAAATTTTTAGTTGCTAAAGGCATGTTACTCGTTCCTTTGCCCATGGTACAGAATTTTTTCATCTGAATACCCAAAGCTTTCTAACAAATCAAGGAATTCCCTGTGACTGCCTTTTTTGGTTAATTGTTTACAAGTTCTATCACCAATGCTGTTATATTACAGTACTGTGTAATGCCTGAAGCACTTAGATCACTGTTCAGTGGTAATTCTATGCCATTAGGTACTCTAAACAGTTAGCTATTCTTAATCCATTTTATATATCCTCTATTGATATCATGTAGTGTCATTTTAAATGAAAATATGCACATTAAGTCAAATACCCCTTACATAAATCTTTTTACAATCACCTTCATCAGGCTTGTAATGGCCACAAACAATTACATCAGGCTTGTCTGACAAAACTCTTTTTTCCTAAAATTGCTCACATTCTGTGAATTATACTCGTTGTTTAATTTTTCAGCAACAGAACCATATTTATGCTTTCCCACCATTTTGCTTAACTTGGCTTTCCAGCTGAATGACCAATAGTCACCTATTTGGTTTTTGAACACTAGAACTCACTAGCACTGTTCTAGTATAACGGCATATGCCTAGTTAGCCCAAGATAACCAGCACTGGGAAAAAATCCCTCAACACTAATTTTTGTTTGTTTGTAAAGTACAAGTTATTCAGCCCTACTCAGGCCAAAATGTTTTTTCTTAGTAGGTATTGCTCAATATACTCTTCTTTTAATGGACTGGAAAGTACTCCATGGTTCTCACATGCTATGATGACATCACATTCCTTCTTTGTAAATGCAGAAGAGAAAACAAAAATTCTTTTTGTTATCATTTGCAATATTACCATATTCATCTGCTGACAGGTCTGTAACACAAATCGGATTTATTTGTTCTTAATACACCGAATTATACGTATTATTTGCTATAACACTTTCATCCGTGTTTCTTTTCATTGCCAGTCTTAGCCTTCTTTATAATTTTTATCACTTTACAATTCCTCATTTTATAACTATTTCCTACTCCTGACTTCCCACTTCTGTTCTGTTTATTTTTAATTGCTGTTTTTACTGGTGAACAGATTGGTTCTTAGTAAGAATTGTTCACAAAGATTTTTAAGTTGTGAAATTGTGGGATTCGGGACAATTGAATTTCAAAGACACACCACGTCTTATTCACATTTCATTCCAGTGATTTTACTCATTGATTCTCCTAACAATGATATTTTTAACCTTTTTAATTCATCAGGAATATAGCACAAGCAATTATTGGTGAAGTCTATCCTCTGCTAATCAATACTGAACAAAATTAGGTCATGGTTCTTGGTTTCTAGGCAACCACTAACTTCCAATTCATTTACTTAATTTGTCTTTATCCTAATTAGGTCTAAAATAGATTGACTGCTGTTTGGAACCACATCTTTTGTATCATCTGCACTTCTGCAAAGGCCAATGATGATTAGCTTTACAGGATTTCCAGCACAGGCCCCACAAAATGAACTTCCCCCATAACTTTTTTCTTTCCACTATGAGTAACTATTAATCTTCAGATGTCAGGAAGAAGTCAAGTAACAACCAGGTGCATAGTCTCATGTTCTTTCGTCTGCAAATAAGAATAGAAATCTATTTACAGAAAAGCACACCTTTTTTCTAATTCATAAAACCATGAAAAACATTGAAGTAGCCTTTCATAATCAGTATGCATTGTTAGTCTTTTCCCTGTTATCTACCTCTTATATCCACTTCAACTCCTCTACAGCTATTGTCAAAATACCCTTCTCCAGCTTCATCCTTCCACCTAACTGGTTTCCTCCCTTTACCTTTGATTTGTACCACATAACCTGCTGATGTCTAGCCTCTCTAATCCCTATCAGTAATCACTTACCATGCCAACAGCTCTGTGCTTTCAGGAAACCCCTCCAGGAATCTGCATTTCACTCAACTACCCTGCATTACCTCCAAAGGTACTTGGAAATTGTTTCATTTTTTTCAGAGAAGCTGAGATCTTGAGCTTGTAATTCACTTGTTGCACTACCATAATTTTACTTCTCCCATACTAAATGACTGCAGTCATTACAACTAGTTGCTGTCTGATCATTTGTTATAACATGGTTTAATGAAGTTGTTTATCAAAGTCAGCAGTTGACTAATCTGGATTATTGATTATAATGAGGAAGAGGGTTTTTTCTGCAATGCTGTGATATTAATAAAATACAACAGAGAACTACAATGCTCTACTTTCCTTTACAAACATTAACTCCCCAGGTCTTAGTGCTCTCTTTATTAAGTCAGCATAACAACCAATAGCCACCACACCTCAGAAATTAAAGTTTAAACCTTCAGACTGTTTCTACCATTTAGGTTTGACCACATGACTTGCAAGCAACCCAGAAAAAGCCTACATGCTGGACCTATGTCAGACAACTAGCAGCAGGGGCTGCTGAGGCTATCACTTTGTGACCCAACCACATGCTCAAACTATTCTGTCCTTTACAGTGAAGCAACAGAAAGAGAAATCATTGCCTACTACCCACTTACTCAGTGATAATAGGCACTGTCTCCCGAGTCTCCCATTTTACCCTTTCCCACTAATTTGAAGCTCTTGCTGTGAAGTCAAAGTCCAAACTGAATTTCTAACACAAGAAAATGATAATCCTAAACAAAATGAAATTCTAAAAAGATACAATACTAAACTTGGAAAGGTATCATTTTGTTACAGACAACAATTACTAATTATTTCTTCATTTATTAGAGTGAATATATCAGGCTTTCACAGTTTTGAAGTTTAATTCAGTGGAAGCATGGGTTTAGCAACTCTAGAATAGGCTGGGCTTACTGGCACTGTTTCATGTATGTGATTGTTTCTGGCAGTGACAAGTCAATTAACTCGCGTTTCTTGGGGGACTCTATCTCACTGCCTTAGAATAGTGTCCGAATAAGTTGTTTCCGATACAGACAAAAGTTTCATGCCTATGACAGACAGCTGCAAAAACAGAAAAGATTTCTTTCTCCAGGTTATTTTTTCCATGCCAAGATCTGGTATTTACAATAAAAAATGTGAACGTGAATTTCGAAGAACAACTTTGGTTGGAAGGAAAAAGTAATTTAGTCCAACCCTGATTTAATTCAGAAGGCCCCACGAAGTCAATATAAAACTTAGCAGACAAGTTTGATATTTTACCACATTAAGATGTTTCATAAGCACTTTTGAATGTACCCATTAGTCTTCTGTGTTGAGTGCAGTTTTAGCTATAGGATGATCTAACTTAATTATTGCCTGATGCAGGCTGAAGGAACTGGCTTCTACAAAAACAAATTACAAAAAATCCTATTCTTTTGGAACAGGTGTAGAACATAACACTTTCATTTGTGGTTACATTAGTTTTTTTCTCCTCCCTACACACATGGATATTCATCTGATGCTATTTTAACCATACAGCCATGTTGGCATTTTCATATGAATGTAAATAGCAGACATTCTTCTGCACTTCAATATCTTAGTTACTCTACATTGTACAACAAACTAACACACATACTAAAGAGCAGGAAAATAAAAAAGTTAATTGTCATCATTTGCATCAGTACTGTTCTAAATCTAACTTTTAAACCACCACATGACTTTTTATCATTTCATTCATTCATTCATGGCTGGGCTTCGCGAATGAAGATTTGGGAAGGGCTCTACCCACATTTGTCATAACAGGCACACTGGTGACTAAAATGTCACCATATTGATCACCATAACTGGTCTACTCTGGCCTCCAATCGGGAGGCCTGGAGACACACCATCTATAACGCTGCTGCTTCCTTTGAGAACACACACAGGATCACTCTCAAGGAGAACAGACAACGCAGAAAGAATCTTGTCTTGCTGAATATACCATCTAAGGAGTCTTTCTGCTGTGCCTTTTGCAATCAGATATGTCTATCTCATATTGGCCTCATAAGCCACCAGTGTGCTTGTAACAAATGTGGATAGAGCCTTCCTAAATCTTTGTTTGCGAAGCCCAGCCATGATGATGGGCCTTCAGTCACCTTAGGCTGAATAGGCTTCCATCAGTACGATATCGAAGGTAGATACCGTCCTGATCATCAAGGTCTGCTGTGGCCCTTTGGAGCATCATGCTGAAGAAGATTGTGAATAGGGTTGGTGCAAGAACACAGCCTTGTTTCACACCATTGGTTATTAGAAAGGGCTCAGAAAGTGCATGGCCATCTCTGACTTGGCCATGCTGATCCTCAGGAAGTAAGATAATAATTTTAAGGAACCTGGGGGGACATCCTAAACGTTCCAAAATCTGCCATAGACCTTTTCTGCACTGTATCGAAAGCTTTGGTGAGATCAACAAAGGTTGCACAGAGACCTTTGTTCTGTTCCCGACACTTCTCTTGCAGTTGTCTGAGAACAAATACCATGTCTGTGGTACTCCTGTTGGCTCTGAAACCACACTGGCTTTCAGGTAGAATTCCTTCTGCTATAGCAGGTAATTAATCTGTTCAAGTGTATTCTTGCCAGGATTTTGCCAGCAATGAAGAGCAGTCGGATTTAACTCCTTTCTTCTTATACTTTCTTCATGACTGCATCATGAAGGTCTGATGGTAGTTTGCCTAGTTCCCAACAGTGCACCACAAATTTGTGAAATTTGGCATGGAACACTTGGCCCCCATGTTTCCAGAGTTCAGGTGGAATTCCATCAACCCCAGCTGTCTTGCCGATTTTCACCTGCTGTATGGCCTTAAGAGTTTCTCCCAAAGTGGGGGCAGTATCCAATTCATTCTTCACTGGTTGTGGTGTGATGGACTGAATTGCTGAGCCTTGAACTACACGGTTGGTACTGAAAAGAATCTGAAAATGTTCAGACCATCGATTCAGAATGGAGGTTTTATCTGTAAGAAGCGTTTGACCATCTGCGCTGAGTAGAGGGCTTTGGACCTGCTATGTAGGTCCATATGCTGTTTTCAGGGCCTCATAGAATCCTCTGTGATCACCCATATCTGTGCATAATTGAGTTTTTTCAGCTAGATCGATCCACCACTTGTTCTGGATGTCACAGAGTTTCTGTTGGAGCTTGCTGCATGCGAGACGAAAGGCTGCTTTTCTTACGTGACAGGATGGCAGTGCAAGGTGTGCTTGGTGAGCAGATCTCTTCTTCCTCAGCAGTTCCTGGATTGTTTTCATCAAACCAGTCCTTGTTCTCCTTGAAGGAGAACCCTAAGGATTCTTCAGAGGATTGCTGGATGCTGTTTTTAATATGGTGCCATAGTGTTTCAGGAGAGGGATCTATAGAATCTATAGAATGATTTTCGAGCCTAGTTTGAAGATTTGCCTGGAATCTGTCTCTCACTGTGGCTGACTGGAGATTGTTAACTTGGAGTCTCCTCCTTGGGATACTGCCCCTTTTAGGTTTGAACTTAAAATTGAGGTTAAGTTAACAGCACACCAGTCGATGGTCTGTAGACATTCTGCACTGGGCATCATGCGGGTATGCATCACAGACATCTCTCCGTTGCACCAAGACATAATCGATGAGGTGCCAATACTTGAATCTAGGATGCATCCAGGTTGTCTTCGGACTATTTTTCTGCTGAAAAATAGTCATCTCATATTTTTGTTTATAATTACTACATTTGCAATTATTCACCTTGATTCAAGACTGCTGATTCATACAGAGAAAGGTCTCCCTCGTGTGGAAATCTGTCTACCAACTGTAAAATAAAAACTGAATTTTGCTTCTTAATAGAGGTTCCATTGCTTAAATTTGCAGATTCATTTAGGGAAGTATCACTTACTATATTTTTGTTTTAGTTCTTCAGAGCTATCATTACGGTGTGAAAGGAAAAAATATGTTGATAAGACAGAATCACAAGAATTTTAAACATGTATAAAAAGACAAGCAAAATACTTGCAAATCCAGTCAGAACACAAGGGAAATTAGTCTAGACAAAATTCACATTGGTATAATCTTGCATCCATCAGTTTCCTCAGCTTTCCTTTATAGCTGTGCTGAATACCTTTTGAGGTGTTCTCACACGTGATTTTCATGTATTGCCTTTTCATGACACAGAAGAACTGCGGCCTAAAACTATAAGTGACTATGACAACTAGAAATTAGTTAATTATGTGGGCTGTTAAGACTGCAGAGTTAATCTGTTCTGGCTACAAATCTTTATGATTTCTCACATCTAATTGCTGTGGTTAAAAAATAAGGCCTGTCACATTTTGCATTTCAGAAATTGATTAATCTCATTTTTTCCTCCCCAGTTTAAATGCTTTAAAAGAAAATCAAGAAACAAAGTTTCACCTGAACATTCACAACTGTCAGGCTTTTTCCCCCCTAAAACAAACTGACAGATTTGACCCTAAGTCAGTGCTTTCAGTTTTCTTTTGCTAGAAAAAGAGGAAGTCTTTTGAGTTGACCAGGCACGTTTTCTTATTTCACTGTTGAACAAAAAAGTAAAAACACCAACCATGTTGACAGCTATGGTTCAAATGTCTAATATGTACAGGATAGTAAACACAATTAAAGCTTGTTCATATACATGCTGTAATACTAAAACCAAAGTAAGACAAGATATCTAAAGACAAGAAAAGTGCACTTGGAATTTACAGCTTTATTTGGGTGCTGAGAGTTGCCTGGTAAAACTCATTTTTCCTGATCTTGCAGAAAAACTACAAAATAATTCCTCAATTACTTTCACAGTCCCACAGCTGAAATCATTAAATCTATTGCACTTTTTTGTAGCACGTCTGCATGCCACACTGCAAAGGAATAGGAAAATTTTCAATTTACTTTTATCATTCCCACCAGGGAGATCTTCTTTCATTCCTTCTTTATTTGTATCTCAAAATACTTCACAAACCATCTGAAACCATTATAATTGCTCAAGTACAACATTTCAATGCCAGTGTTGATATAATTTGGAAACCAAACACCAGACTTGTGATCATCGACAAAAACAAAAAAGTGATGGAAGAACTGCTAAGGTCATAGATTTTGGCTGGGTTTTTTTCTTTTTTTAATTATACTATGTAAGTATATAAATGATATAAGAATTTAACATGCATCAGAATGAAGTCTAAAAGTATCACACATCTCTGGCGTAAAGCTCTTTGGGGCAGGTTCTCAGTCTTGAAATCTGTCAGGAAGTGAGACTGAACCCAAACAATAACAAAAACCAACACGCTTCCTCTCCATCAGAGACAAAGTGAGCAGTCAATACAAAGGAAAATACAGAATAAGAATGAATTTGTTTCTTTTATTGCTGGTAGTGTCTTTTTTATCCCCTCCAGATTTAAAATTCACTCACAAGACACAATTTAAGTACATCTATTAAAAGAGAACCATGGCATCAAATCCCCATATTGATTAGTATTATTTCATAACAATTAAAAAGAATTACGATCCAAATTCTTCAGCTTCATACATCTCAGTTTTTTCCCTGATGTGTTGAATTTTGTAGTCCTATGAAATTTTTTTTAAAAATCATATTTTTATTTTTACAATTTAAAAAATCATCAAAAACTGACCCAGTTTGCCTAGAGTGATACATAGTCAAGATGTGAAATACACTGACATTTCCAGCTCATTCCATACTTATATGCCATTACAGAAGAATCATCATTTTACTGAACACATAATCCCTTACTCAATAAGAAAGCTCTTTGGCTTGGTTTACGCCCCAAGAAATTTTGCAGCATATCCATTCCATCCAAAGATCCTCCAGGTTTCAAAATAAGGTTTCTGTATTTCATCCCAGCCTGAAGGTAAAGCAGAATGTTAATACTTCTTATCTTGCCAACTGCCTCTTTTTCTGTATTTTTTGCATATTTAAAAATCCACTTATGATAAAACAACTTTCCTCCTTCCAGATTTCCTTAAAAACAAATCAGGATACAGCACAAGTATAATTTAGATCTGCTGGAAGAACTCAAGAGAGCAGAAATTCAACCAATTCTTGAAGAAATTATTTTTCTTGTGGTTTTACACTGGTTTGGAAGCTACAGTCATAACTTCTCTGAAAGACATATAGTATAACAAACATACAATCTACTCAAAATCTTCACTGATGAATTATCCCTGTGGTTGACTGGTAGGAAAAAATCCATAACATCTTTCTCTCTTAACTGATGATTTCTCTTTCTTTAATCTCTGTTTGGAGAACAGAGATGATACTCCAGAGATAGACAGCTGTAGCATTGTAGAATGACATGCACATATACACATATTATATGCACAGTAGTATATTTAATACATCCAAACATGTAATGGGACTTAACTCAGGTTTTACTTTCAGCAATAAACATTACTGCTTCAGAAGGAATGGATTTCTATAAAAAAATGAATGAAGTTTCTGAGACAACAGGAAGTAATGAGGAGTTTCTTAATAAGAGGTTGTATTTTAAAGAACATATTATATCTGGAGAATTTTGGGCTTCTGAGACATGACTATAGAAAAGGAAATGTTATTTTGCATGCAGATGTCCCAGATGCTTCTGATACTGAAGAAGACACTTTTAGTGTCTTTTTCCTTTTAGGCACTATATATACATGCATACACTTCCCCCACAACTCAAAGCCATGGGATTACAGGACCACATTGCTTCCTGTACTGTAAGAACAAGCGCAGGTCTTTTTAAGTGATGGACTTCCAAGACTTAATTGAACTACCATTTGCAGTCTGCGTTACATTAGCCATTTAGAATTGTCTGAATTACTGCTGCAAAAACCTAAAAAATTCACTGAAAATAAGCTTATACTTCATTATTTGGGTTAGTTTCCTGAACATCAGCAGCAAACGAAGATTTTATTCTTTGTCAATTAAAAGTACTATTTGAGTAGACTTGAGTCGTTGCTGTTGTCCCTTCAGAGCCAGAACACTGCTTAGTTATAGGGAGACCAGAGGTTATTTCAGGTAATGTGGAGTGAGGAGTGTGAACTGAGGAGTGTGGTAACCAATTAAGTTAGTTAAGTGTTTGCTGAAGAATTTTTACAGATCCAGTTTCTGAGACTAGATTGTATAACTGTTGTTCAAAACAGGAAGAGAGGTTTTATTCTAACAGGAAGAGGTAAGCCAAATTTCTAAAAGCCCTAATCATAACACCATAACAATCTTCTTTTCCTGCTATTCTGAAGACTAGATATTCTGAACTCTAGATATAATGAAGTATGAGTATTACAAAAATCGAACAGTTATCTAGTATTTGGTTATAAAACATTGTTTGTTGCATCTTGTGGAACACTATTGCACTTAGCTAGAATGCTTCTTTGGGTTGAAAAACAACTAATATGAGAAGATAGCATTGAAAAGGGAGGGAAAAAATCTCCACTGTTACACCTCAAGTTATATCAGCAATCAAGGCAAATTGCGTGCACACATACAGTAGAAAGCGAGTGACACACACATGAATGATCAGTTTTCTTCCTAACTTAGCCTGGATAGCAGGCTTCCCATTAAAAGAGGCACTAGTTGTCTTTCAGCTGTACCACAGCAAATATTCATAATTTATTCTCAAAGCCTCCCATACACAGGCAAAGAAAACAAAAATTCTCACAAAAAGCAGAATAAAAGGCATCTCCCAGGAGAAGTAAAGGTAACAGAGCAATTCTGGTGAACTATGACTTAGGGTTTTGACTATACAATCACTCAGTGTTGAGACTGCAAAGTAAAGCAGAACAAAAGGTCTGTGATGACACTGGAGGGGCACCATCTGTGTCAGAACAGAAAACTGACATGAAGTCCCACAACTTTGGCACCAGCACCCTTAAACCATCTCTCCCAAATGCTAACAGTTATAAAACCCAGCAAGTCTGACCTCTCCTGAAATGCTATTTTTAGGATCCATACGAACAACATTTTCTAAGAAGTTATTTTATTCTCTCATTTAGCTTGACACATCTTCTCTGCTGCTCTTGTTTGCAAGTGACAAGACTGCCAATGAACAAACAGGTCTGCTTATTCTCACATGTACCTGTCATGAATCCCCATCCCTGTAGTATCAGTCTTGACCTCCAAACTCTTTGTCACTTCTTCTCTAAAACTGTTAAGCTGGCTGCTTTTCTCCATAAAACCCCTTTCAGTTTTACTGGCCTCACCCCATCTGCTCTTTGGACTCCTCTCTTTGTTCAGATCAAAACCTAATCTTGTTTACTGTCACCACCCTCTAGAGCTATGGACAGTTCTAGAAGTTCTGGTTGCTGTGATAAGGAAGGAGAGGAAAGAAGGCAAATTCCAGGAGAGGAAAAGGACAGTCATACATTTTTCTACTCTTTCCTTTATTTCTCTCTTGTGTACCTCTACTGAAAGGAAGAACTAGAGCTGGCAGCTGAATCAAGAACACAAGAGGATCAAGACCAAAAGACCAAAAGACCAAAAGACCAAACTTTGCCAGAATTAGCAGGACTACTAGCCACATCTCTAACTATCCTTTCTTTCTGCTTAAGGCAGAACAGATTGGAGAGTTACACAAGAAAAAAAAGGCCCAGTAAATCTAGAATCTCTTAATGATTAGGACTTAAAAATGGACTTGGGAGTATTTTATGCTGTGCTGTGACAGAGAAAGCTCCGAATGAATTCAATTTTCTATGTAGTAATTACATAAAAGGACCACACAGTTGAGGTACACAAAATGTACTGGAAATGGAAAAAGAGCACTACTATCATACAGGTTTCACAGCAGATGAATATGCATCTGTTCCTGCAACGGAGAAATGTTTTTTCAGTCTAAAATTACAGAGGAAGGCATTAGACAAGGCAACACAATGTCTTAAGTCTTATAATATTAAATGCATAATGATGTAAGAATTGTATTAAAATCCAAGTGCTCTTGAAAATGTCAAGATTATTTTCTAAAGTTTCTGATACACTTTTTTGTTGTTGATCTGAGTTTGACAGGTACAGAAGTACTTGATCAAGATCAAGATGGCAATAAATGTTGTTTCAGAGACAAAGTGCAACAGAAGTGTTCGTTAAAAAGTATTCATCACCTACCTTTGGATTCATTATTCCCTCTTGCTTAAAGCAGCTATAAAAGATATCCATGGAAAACACTTCACTCCACAGGTATCCATAGTACTGACCATCATAACCACCTGCCAGATGTCCAAAAGTAGCTGGCATGTTTGTTCCTTAAAAAGTAGATTAAGTTATTTTAATAAAATACAGTACTTCAAGAATAAATTAATAAGGTATTTATATCAACTACTTTTAACATAAAGGGTCTGAGTATCCCTCAAAGTATTGGACATACTCGCTGACTACAAAGGAAACTTAGTTTCCCATTTTAGGCTACTTGTAACTCCAATACAGATGTGACAGAACATCTGAAGTGGAATTCACATCATGTCACATTAAAATGTATCCTGAAAAGGGTTAATTTTTATATTTACCTTAATTTTCCTTCAGAAAAAATCATTAAGATAATCCTAGGTTTCAAAATAACTATTTAGGTTTCATAAAGTAGACTATTTCATAAACAACTCTGGGGGGGTTGTATGCCAAGCATTACTGGGAAGGAATGGCATGTTAAATTGAACCATTTGGACATGCTGTATAAAAGTTTCATACTGACATACCTGGAGTGGCAGGAATTCCTAGAATCTCCATACAGTATTTAGCATATTCATCCGCTGGGTCAACAGATAGCTTTGTATGCAGTGCCTGGTCAACTTTGCTCAAAACAATCTGACGGAGGGTTAAAAGGCCTAAGTGGGTAAGAACATTTAATTAACTAGCATCAAAGTAGCTGGAGTTTCATTTGCAGCTTTCCTTCAACGATCTCAGCATGCACATTAAATGATTAGAATTTTAACTGTGGAACAAACTTGGAGTTGCATCGTTCCCATCTGAATTGCTCCAGTTACAGCGAGTTGAGAGGCAGAGTTTTAAAAAAGGAATTGTCACTATAAGCTCCATCTTTTCAAATGTTATTTTCCTCACAGATCAAAAATAAAATAAAGCAGATATTTTTAAAGCAAATCTTAATATTTAAAATAATGTTTTCAGCTGCCGTTGCTTCCCATATATCATTTCACTCAGGGCTTGAACAGCTGATAGTTAGTATATCTACCCTAAGACACTTCAAAGAACACCAAGAACTGCTGCAGCAGCTGCTGTAAGCTTTTTTTAAGAAGCTACAAGATATGAACCTTTACCCAGACAAAATTCTTTGCAGCTACAGAGTCTGTACAAGCCACAGGGACAAAGACTTCTTGTTCAGGATAGGAAAGCAGTATGAAATAAACAGCAGTGTCTAATGACAAATTGTACTATAAATGAGAAGCCCTGATTAGAGGAACAAAGGGGTGGGAGTGATAGAATAACAATGATATGATAGGCAATGACATGAGATTACAATCTCAGTTTGGAGATACATGTAAGGTAGTACAAGATGGGGCAGGAGAAGAAAATTAGAACCTTAGTTTGGGAAGGCAGTATATCTGCTGAGAAAGTAGAGAATATGGACTTAAGGTTCTGGATTTAGAAGTTAAGAGGCTGTTTGAACAATGCAGGGCTACAGGGCTTCTGTCTGGGATATGTTATCTACGTTCATTAAATCTGAAAACAACTTCCATGTCTGTCAAGTGTCATGTGCAAATCAAATGTAGACAATACATACAGAAAATCTGACACTGTATGCACAGTTCCTGCTCTTGACTACAAATAAAATAAAAACCAAAAACCCCACAATAGACGACCCCCCCTTTTCCCCCATCACACACACCACCAAACCTCCTCCCCTTCCCCAGTTTAAAATGAACAATGCTGGTAGGTAAAAAAGTCACATGAAGAGGAAAAGTATTTTAGTACTGTGGGTGGCCTGGAAAATCAGAGCTGCTACTGTCCGGGCAAACAGTGGTACTATCATCATAGAAATAAATCAAGAAATAAACCTAGAAAAACAGTGATAAGTGTACACACAGAAGAAACTGAATGGGTTTTCTGTGTTCATCAGTTTTTTAAATAATGTATTTTTGAACATATGCTGTGGGGAGAAAAGGCAGAGAGATACCTGAATTAGCCAGTCTAGAGGCAGCAAGTTTCTCAAGGAGAGTGTCTCCAACATGGGTTTCATCTTTATAATGTCTTGACATTTGCTGTAGTGGCTCCTTCTGCCACACCCAGTTTTCAAACATTTGTGAAGGTACCTCTACAAAATCTGTTTCCACGTTAGTTCCACTAAACCTAGCAAAATCAGTCTAAAAGAAAATGCCATTGAATTAAATGAAAATAGAAGCCATGATTTCTAGCAGAATACAAATTTTCAGATGTCAAAATTTCAGTTTTAATCGCAGCAAAAGGAATCATTTGAACAGATTGATAATAATAGTTTAAAAATTAAATTTAAAGAAAGGAGGAAAAAGAAAAAATCAAGACATAAGACTATTACAAAGGAACAAACTAGATTTCTCAGTGGTTATTTACTGCATTATCGACTGGTATGGAGCAGTACTTCCATTTTCTTAACATTACTGATTTTTATCTTTTAGGTTATGACAGTAACACAAATGTTTCCATGCTGTCTTGTCACATGGATATCACTTGTGAATTATTATAAAAATTTGTTATATTACCCCAAAGTAAAATAATAAACTCCAACTATACACTTTAAAAACAGTTTACTGTATTACAGTTTACCACACCGATTCACAGACTTTACTGGACCAACTTATCCTATTAAGCTTTGTCCTACTTGCCTTAATTCATAAGACATGTGGCCAACATACAGCTCAATTATTTTAGCCAGTAATACTTGGACTGAAATAAATAAATCCTAGCAACGTTATCCACGAAAGATTTCCAAATCTGACACTTTATTACTGAGGGAAGAATCTTTCTTCTGAAAGCCAAGCACATTAGAGCTTTTTATTTTTTGCTTCGGTATTGTCAATAACTTCATATTTAAGAAGCTCCCACAATACTAATTTTGAGGAAAAGTTTGTACAGTTAATATTCCACACTCAAAACATTTCTAAAAAGTCAATTCTGAAAGACAGTTGTTCAAATGTACCGAAATTATTTGGTCTTATAGAATCATTGAATAATTAAGGAAAATACTTTTAAGATCATCAAGTCCAACTGCCAACCCAGCACCACCACCGTGTTCACCATTTAGCGTTAATTTTTGTCCTCATGTGCCACATCCACATGTTTTTCAGACACTTCAGGGATGGTGACTCCACCACCCTCTTGGGCAGCCTGTTCCAATGCTTTACACTGCTTTTCTATCAGTGAAAAAAATTTCCTTTCCAAAAACATCCAATCTAAACCTCTTCTGGTGCATCTTGAAGACATTTCCTCTCATCCTGTCACTTTTTATCTGGGAGATGAGACTGATCCCCACCTGGCTACAACCTTCTTTCAGGTATCTGTAGACAGCAATAGGGTCCCCCCTGAGCCTCTCTTTCTCCAGGCTAAATATCTTCAGAACCCTTAGCCACCCCTCACAGGACTTGTATTCTGTACCCTTTTCCACCTCTGTTGCCCTTCTCTGGACACACTCCAGCACCTCAATGTCCTTCTTGTAGTGAGGGGCCCAAAACTGGGCAGAGGACTTGAGGTGCGGCCTTGCCAGTGCAAAGTAATAGGGGACAATCACTGCCCTGGTCCTGCTGACCACACTATTTTTGATATATGCCAGGATGCCCTTGGCCTTCCTGGCCACCTGGGCAACTGCTGGCTCATGTTCAGCCACTGTCAAACAGCACTCCCAGGTCCTTTTCCTCATAGCAACTTTCCAGCTCCTCCTCCCACAGCCTGGAGTGCTGCCTGGGGTTGTTGTGATGCAAGTGCAGGACCCAGCATTTGACCTTGTTGAACCCTATACTATTGTGCAGATCTGTAGAGACTTCCCACCATCTTGTCTTGTAATAGGTCTACCTCCTCTTGCCAGACCAATTTTATGTTTGTTTTTTTTTCCCTTCTCATCAACATACTAACAAAACAGATATCCTCATTTAACCATACACATTATCCATGCATCACACTAACAAAAGCCACTAGACATTTGGGTCAAGTCACTTCAAGAGTTCTCCTAACAGCATAAACAAAGCCCCTCCCTGCCCTGATCTCACTTTCCAGCAGTATCTCTCTCTTTTTCCAGTGTATTACACAGAGTATCAGACCTTTACCAGCAGCTCACAGATTCCCTCCCATACGCAGCATTTAAATGTCAAGTCTTAACATGCTTAAACAAATAATCACATGAAACAAGACAGTGTTTTGTACACACAAACTCTAAAGACAGGATGTTCTTATGTGGGATTAGCAAGTCTGCACACATGCAAATAACAATTCACATACAATACAGCAGCACTAAATATGGTAGCTATGCACACAAAAACAACCAGAGCAGTGTGAGAGACAACTGGAAAGGAGGCCTCCCTCACATGCGTGCAATTCCATAGCAACTAAAGTACATATGCAGTAGAATTGTTGGCTTGAGCTGCCCCAGCTGGACTCCACAACAACCAGGCACATTCTCATTGGTTATGCTGCAGTCAGTTTTGTACCGTTTCATACCAATGCTGAATGTGTTTCATTTATAAACACCTTCCTTATAGTCTAGGTTTTATTCCTCAATTTGTGGTATGAGAAACACTGAACATAGGGTGAAGATGATCAAAATAATCGTTATATTTTTCCCTTCAACATGATTCAAAAATATCTAAGCAAGTCTAGTTTCTTATTAACTCCGGATTTAATATATGGATTTGTGTGACTATTTCTTTATTCTGCAGTCCCAATCTATAGGATAATGGTCAAGAATGTAATGTGGGTCATACTTCTTTGATTTTATTATTTAGTACTTGTTTATACAGAAGATGAATGAAGTGCTGCACAAAGTCTGGATTTGTAGACAGTTATGTGGATTTTTTGGTGAGTGAATACTGACATATCTCTCTCTAATATAAAATTTTCATTAGACTAATAATAAATTTATCATCTGGCAGAATTAATTTTAGATATAAGTAAAAATGAAACCAGAAATATTACAACTTTATTGGTATCTTGATGCAAAATCTGAGACTAACTTCAGTTCTGTCTGGTCACTGTGAGAAACCTATCCTATCAGATAGCAGAGTGGAAAATACAATGGCTCAGGCATTTATGCTTTTGATATCAAGAGTGACAGCACTCAAGAGTACTAAATGCCAAAATGCTGGAGGTCATCTGGATTTAGAAATTATTTTCATTCATAGGTACAGGACTCTTTTTTACTTTTAATATCCAGAAGTGCAACTTAATGTAATAAAAAGCCCTCTGACAAAAACCATGATAGAGCACCTTCCTCACCTCATACATCTACCTGTGATGACTGAATAGATGCCTCCATGATGCAAATGCAAAAGTGTATGTTTGTATGAAAATGTTTTTCATAAGGAGGTGTATTTATTGCTTCAGTTTTAAATAAAAATTAAAAACAAACCCCCAACCTGACACTGTAAAAAATAACCAAAACATCACTAACCTGTGCACATATCTGATGCATTACGTGACCAAATTCATGGAAGTAAGTCTTTACTTCATCATGTCGCAGTAATGATGGACGATCCAATGCTGGTTTTGTGAAGTTGGTTACCAGAGCAGCAACAGACATCAATCTGCTGCCATCAGAAAGGAGACAGCCGGGCTGTAGACCAAAGCATGCTGCATGCCCATACTTTCCCTCTCTGTATAAGAAAATAAACCAGACACTATCTTCAAACCTGCTCACCAGAACGGTGAAGCCTATTCAAGAACAGGGACAATCAGTCAGTGTCTTTACACACAGCTTTACACAGAAAAATTACATCTTTTCATGATTTCTAGAGACTCGTTAGAGTGAGTCTCTTAAGAGCACAAGGGGAAAAGTGCCCTCTGTAATCTTGCACTTAGATCACAACAATTTAAGATTCTCAGCAGCATTTACATGAATCTGATTTTTACTATAATACTGGAAGTATACATACTTTAGATGTCCATTCTGTTTTAAACTGCCTCTGTAACAGCAAGGACTAGGCTGTATTCTCTGAAGCAGTATTTTTTATTTTATTACAGGAGACAAAAGAATACAGTACATTGCATTTTTCATGGTGATCCAAGAGTTTAGAGAAAACTTATTTTGAAAATTTTGCCCTAAACTACCCAGTTAATACTCAGGTTAAGTCAGAGAAGTCTTACTGACACATAGCTTCAGCAATTCACACGACACACATAAAGATGGAAGCAGGCAAACAGGTGAAGGAGATAGGTACATTATCCTGAAAAGAATAATTTATGTACTATTGTACTGACTAACCTAATTTTCTTAGGCCAGAAAAGCCTTAAATCAACTTATATTAAAAAAAGAATATCAGTCAATTTATAAATTGTTAAATACTAATTTAAGAAAACCTACACCAAAGCAAACAAAAACCCAGTGACAGTCAAAAAGGACTAGTTCAGAATAAATTCTGTCAAGTCAGTCTAGTTTCACAATCTCTGACAAAACAGAGATGATGCTTTAGATAGCTACAAAGAGAGCTGGAGAGGTAGATATCAACATGTAAATCTCAATGTCTGCTCAACAGGAATCTATTCTTGCTACTGATCTATTTGATATTTTCTCTACCAGTCTGGCCAACAGGTTAAAAGTACAGATACAGACCAACAGAGTACAAAATACACATATAAAGTGTAAAGAGGAACTAAGAGAAACTAGGAACACTCAGCAGACAGAAATATAATTGATCAATAAAAATTAAAACAGTATTAAGATTATGGATATTATGGATATTATGGATAACTGACAATAGCAGTATTACAAAAGAAAAGTTTACAAAGTAGCAATGCTTCATAAACTGAATAGAAGCAAGAACTAAGACAAATTCCATTTTAAACACATAAGTAAAACACTAAATCATAATTACCTGGGGTAAAGATCCAAATAGAACTGCCCTAACATTTCTCCTGTTGATTTATCCTTTACTGCATAAAGAGTAACACTGTCATGCCAAACATGAGCACTTTCTACTTGCTCAAATACAAGTCCCAGCAGCTCCTGGTAAATATTCAGTAAGCCTTCTGTAACAGCCTCAATTGGGAAGTATTCCTTCAGTTTTTCTTGATCTATAGAGTACTTCAGCTCTTCAGTTTTGTTCATATAATAATGAAGATCCCATGCATTGATTCTTCCATCATAATCAAAGTTTCTTTCTTTACACTCCTTTTTCTTCAAATCTAGAATGAATTCTCTTTCTTCTTCAGCCAGTGGCTTTAGCTTCTTACTCAAATCATCTGAAAAAAAGATTGCCTTGGAGTCAACTTCTGCGTTACTATAATGTGTATTCCTATAAAACACACTCAAAACTTTAAGCACATGCTCCAGAAGGGGAAGTTAGAGTTTTTTCTTGTCCTAGTGAGCCTTAACTGCAGGCATGCTGTGATACAGTACTCCAGTAGTACTACAGTACTAGGGTAGACCTAGGAGAGCTGTGAATGGTTTTGAATTTAGATTTTTTCAAAGATATCAAAATGGAAAGTAACACTAGACACTTTTGCTTGAATCCTTTGATTTTATCTCATGTAATCTCAATTTTCTTAATATATTTCTGCAGCAGCAGCAAAAGACTACAACTACCATTAGTTCCTGCAAGGGCATCACAAAATTCAATACTTCTAGCTAAAGCCCAATAAAAGAACAAGAGACTCAAGAGTTCTTGCTTCCAGACTAGCAAAGTCACTGGGTATTAATCTCTATGGTACAAATACTTTCTAATATACTTTTCTTGGACAAGAAACCGCCTCAGCACTATGAAACACATACATTGAATATAAAATATTTACCCTTACTGAAACTTCCATAAAGTACCTACTGTACTTATTCTCTTATAAGTATTTCTGGACTATCAGACACTTTCTTAAGAATTCAGATGAATGTTCATTGTTGATATCTAGAGTGTAAAATCGAGGAATTGCCACTCCTCTTTCTAGGTAGTCTGTAAGGCACTATATACAATTACATTACATTTACATGACTGAAATAATTGTATTTCATGACTGAAGCTTGTATTGTGCTAAATTTAGAATGTGTCAGGAGAGAATGCTCTTCTTCTTAGCTGTAAGATCAGCTTATGAACACTGATTTAAAACATGAACAGATAGGAACACAGTAGAGCAAAATACACTGTCATGTTTGTAGCTGAGGATATATCAAAAGAACTAAATTAAAGGTGACAATTAATTTGATGAACATTCTCCCTCTGTGAGAAATACCATGAAGCATGATATTTATGAAAAGTATATGATCTCATATGCTTTTACTTCGTAAAGCAACTGCTAGATTTTGAGTGTCAGCTTCAAAACAAATGAAAAAAACCCAGTATTATAATAATATAGTGGATACAAAAAGAGTCCAAAATACTTCACATCCACCTAAAAAACACCAGGTAATTCAAACATTTAATAATGCAAAATTACCTGTGAGTTGTCAAATATATGGATAATTGGTATGGCCAAATATGCATCTGATCTGAAGGAGCATTTCAGAAGAAATGCAACAGAATTACAGGTGAAGGAAGAAGAGCATTTGAACCTCTTTATTGATGCATAAACACAAAAACCCCACTACCAACAAACATACCTTATTTTTGTACTAAATTATTTGGAGGGGGTTATTTGTATGATACATCAATATACACTCCTAAGTGGTGTTAGGACACATTAATAAAGGAACACATGCTACTCTGTGGAACTACGTAATTCCAGAAAGTAGAGATTAATTCCATGCAAAAGAGTGGGCCCACTAACGTCAAAAGCATGACTATAAATTCATAAACTGCTCAGTTCAAAATTTTCAAGATACCTCTGTTATCAGATCAAGTTCCATTACAAGGCTTTTGAATTCCAGATTTAATCCATCATTCCAGATTTAATTTTTTAATTCAGATCATGGAAGCTGCATCATCCCATACTGTAATCTTTTATTATACTTAACACAGTTGAATCAGAAAAAGACACTAAGGCTATGGATGCACAAAAAATTGTGCAAAAAATGGGAAGGGAAAGAAAAGCTGCAATTCTGATGCAGCCTCTTGAACTGATAAAATTGGCTAGGCTGCACATATTACTTTGGTTCTAAATTAGGATAACTGCATTTTGGAGCAGAGAAAGACACAACCACTTGTTTATATCGGCTGTCACAAAGCAGCTATTTTCAGATTTTCGCCTTGTGCTTCCCTGATTTGGAGCAACTGCATTTGTACAGCTACAGTCTAAAAAATACATGTGCCAGAATGGAGGCAGTAGAGTTCCTTTTCTAGCTACACATGATGGATACTGTGACCCAGTTATGTATTTAAAGTAATCTTGGCTGAGTAATCATGTTGCCACATCAAATATAAAAGTATTGCTTATAAATGAGAACAAACCTAAGAAGGTTGTTACATTATCTGTGCTCTTTGCAGTGTTTACCTCCAGGACAAAGTTGGCATGTGTATTATAACCAAGAAGCTCTGCTACTTTTGCCCTTAGTGGAAGCAATTGCTGAAGAATTTTTGTGTTCTCCTAAAAAAGAAAGTAGGGAAATTTGTAAAGTGAAACCACATGTTATCAAAACATCTGAATAATATCTGAAATCCTATGAAACAGTAGATATTTTAAATGAAACACTTTAAGATATAAATATAAAACCCCCTAAGTTTAGCTAGATTATTGGAATTTTTTTTCACAGCATTTGATTGCAGATAGCTAGTATTCTAGTTGATCATAGTCATTACGCTCCCTATTATAAGTTTTAATTAATCAAAATGGATACCATTTCCTTTTAGGATACTAACAGTTGTGAAGAGTTTCGTTTCTTTATCAATCATTTAACTGTGAAAGGTAACAGTGAAATTGCTGACATCAGGCTTAATTGCTTGTTAGTGATGAAGACAGCTTGTAAATGTGTTGTGCCAACATTCAAAACTTGTTTGCGAATTTCCCTCTTTTGCCACTCTGACAATAGCAGTCAGAGAAAGATCTGAAACACAAAACCCTAAGCCCTGACCTAAATGTGCTGGAGGATCCTTGAGAAGCTGAAAATATAACTGTGTAAACCTCTAGTTCTGGAAAAGTGAGATTTCTCGGGGGAAGGGGGGGGTGGAAATCAAACCCTAGATTCGAAGATTGTTCCACAGTTTTAACATCAAGTACCCTTATGTGTGTTGACTTGCAAAGTGTTCAGTTCTTGGTGCCATTTTATCTTATCTTGTACTCATCACATTTCCCAGTACTTCAAGCACAAAAGTTCAACTCTGTCACTGTTCTCTAATAAATGGTTGGTACAACTGTCTGAATGACATATTCTCTATTCTTTTCAATTTTTGTACCTATCTGGTTGTGTGGTATCATCAGCATAAAGTAACTGTGAAATTATTTCTTCTTTTTATAAGGCAGGTTTCCAAATATTTTTCAGATCATTAAATATATCTTTTATAAAAAAACAGGAGGGCTTTTTACATCTAATTAAAATTCTCATCAATATGCAATGTGTTAATTTCACATTTAATCACCTGTATTTTATAATTAAAACCTGTGCTTAAATAACCCCTCTCATTCTGAAAAATCCCAAAATACTACAGAAGCCACAATCAGACATCCTTTTCTGTGAGCAAAGTGTCAGTAAACATGTGCAGAACACTACAGGGAAATTTGACAAAAGATCAAAATCCTATTTCTATTAACAGCACCACTTGAAGATTAAGATATGTACACACACGGAGGCAGATCGTCAACTTCTAAGGTCTCTGGACATCAGAATAAACTGAAGCAAGGAACTTTTAGAGATCACACTGATAAGTTTTGATTTAATAACAGCAGAACTCAAATACAACATTTGAATGTCTAGCTCCATTTTTCAATTCTGTCATTGCACTGTAGAACAACCAATACACAACATACCTCTTTGCATCTCGAGTTAAAGGCAGATTCCATTTTTCTCCTTGTTTCTGAAATGCAGCACTTCTTCATAACAGGAAAATAGTGGGGATATTTCAAGGTTACTTTATATTTGTCTTCCTCAGTCTTCTCTAAACTATTAATAAAGTCATCAGGAAGGCCATCTATGGAATAGAATTTAATAAACAGTAATTACCAGAACTACCTACTCCCCTGTTTTTGTAAGACTGTTGCATTTGTTTTGCTGCCATCTATCTTGAAATTAGAAATCTCCACAGGAAAAACACCTTTTTGCAATTTGTTATAGTTTTATACTTTTTTCTTTTTGCCTAGTGAATTTTCCCATACCAACAGTCTCTTGCTACTAAGCTAAGACTTCGTTGTTAGGCTAGCCCGAGCCTTAACGACTGCCCTACTGAAATGCTAAATAACATCGGTACCCGAGCGAAATTGTGTAAGGGAAACTCCATTCCCTCGGTAGCCACTGTTGGAGAGGGAAGGGAGGCCTCAGTTGTTTTTTTTTCTCTGGGGATGGCTCTTTAGTTCTTCCCTGACTCAGGGAGTGGTGTGGATGGATGGGGGGTTCATTTTTCAGCCGGGTCACTGGCTTCTTCTGGCCCCGAGGGAGGTCCTAGTTCGCCTCCCATTCCTCACGTCCTGCTCTGCCCGGACCGGCCTCGGATTCATCGGAAAGCGGACACCACCTGCGAAGAACCGCTGAGGGGAAAGGCGGCCCTTCCCCTCCTCCTCTCCTGTGTCGGCGGCGTTTGCACCCATTGACGAGGAAAGGTATCCCAGCCAGAGACAGCCTTTGACAGCATGAGTCTACAGGAGGAACCACCCTCTGCCCTTCTCCCTTTCCCCTTCGGTGGTGGCCCGCCTCGCCGGGACGGGACCGGGACCGGGACCGACCCTGCTGCCTCCCGCGCCCCGGGCCCTGCAGAGGAGGCGGCACCAGAGCCCGACAGCGCCCCCTGCCGGCCATCGGAGAGCAACTGCAGCCCCCATTGCTCCGGGTCCAACAGCGCCCCCTGCTGGCCCTGCGACACCGCAGCCCCGCCTCCCGAGGCGCCAGCGCCCCCTGCTGGTCGTGGTTATTGTTTTCGGTGGAAGTTCGATTATGGAATTGTTGCGTGTTCTTTTATGTTACATATCATGGCTGGGCTTCGCGAACGAAGATTTGGAAAGGCTCTGTCCACATTTGTTACAGGTACGCTGGTGGCTTATGAGGCCAATACGTGACAGACATATCCGATTGCAAAAGGCACAGCAGAAAGACTCCTTAGATGGTGTATTCTGCAAGGCACGGTTCTTTCTGCGTTGTCTTTTCTCCTCGAGAGTGATCCTGCATGTGTTCTCAAAGGAGACAGCTGCGTTATAGATGGTGTGTCTCCAGGCCTCCCGATTGGAGGCCAGAGTAGACCAGTTATGGTGATCAATATGGCCAAGGCTGAGATGTTGTTTCAGGGAGTCCTTGTATCTCCTCTTCGGGGCTCCTCTCATGTGGCAGCCAGTGGCAAGTTCACCATAGAGCAAGATCTTAGGGAGGCGGTGGTCCTTCATCCTGGAGACGTGCCCTGCCCATCGCAGCTGCATTCTCAGTAACATGGCCTCAATACTTGTGACTGCTGCTTGTTCTAGAACAGATGTATTGGTCACATAATCTGACCAGTGGATGTTTAGGATTGTACGGAGGCAGCGTTGATGGAAGCGTTCTAGGAGTGACAGGTGGTGGCGGTAGATGACCCATGATTCGGAACCGTATAAGAGAGTAGACAACACTATGGCTCTGTAAACACTGATCTTGGTACTTTTCTTCAAGTGTTTATTACGCCAAACTCTTTTGTGGAGTTTTCCAAAAGCACTATATGCCTTTGCTAACCTATTGTCTATCTCTCCATCAATCTTACCATCCGAATGTTACATATATATATTTGGTAAAGAGATGCTATTTTCTTTTCCACACCTTTTCAACTGAAGCCTCTTAATTTTGAAGTTATAATTACTCAGAGGGAGGAGTCTGGTTTTCCTCCTATCCCACCCTCGTTAGCAAACATTTCCGTCTCATTAAACTGAGACACAATTATTTGCTAAAACTTTTTCAAATTCCACCAAGGAAAATAAAATTTGGAAACGCTTGCAAGCAAAAGAGAAATACATGTAAGGCTACCAGAATGACATTAAAGAATCTCTAATAGTATTAGAGCATATTTTATGCCATGCCTTTCAAATAATGAATCCCCAAATTTTCTATCACATGCAATTTCTAGCTTAGTTTTTAAATTACTGAATTAGTTAAAATATATTGCAGGACAAAAAAGCTTTTCCAATACTTACAATTAATGTAATACACAGGGAATTGCTTGGTGGTGGAGAACTGATAAAAGGAGCAGAGTTAAGTTATGCTTAAAAAGGAGGACCAATTTGACGCAAGGCAAACACTTCAGGAAGCAAAAATCTATGCAGACATTAAGAAAACCTGCAAAGGATAACACCAAACTGACTCTGGGGAAGGATTAAAAAGGAAACAGAGAAGACTGGAAACCAGTCAGAATTTCCCTTGATCTTACCATCACTCATGGGGCCAAAACCAGCTACTCAAGTAAAACTGGAATTTGAAGAAAGCAAGCATACCACTTACCAAGTTCTTCCCTAGGAAATACAAGAAATGTGTTCTCCTCATTCAGGTTTTTGTTAAAGTCTATACACAGCTCATTCATTTTTTTCTTCATTGTCTTTATTTCCTGCATTGAGTATAAACTGAACTTAGTGGAAAAACAAAAATCAAAGTTGGTAATTTCTATCCTCCACATGAATAGTATTTCACTTTTTCCAGCTAGGCTTTCTACTAGCTGACAGTAAATACCAGCAGTGAGCAAATAACACACTGCAGGTAGCATCATACTTCACTCTCCATCAGCCTCCCTTTTATGTTTCTTTTGACCCTTAGCAATATTGTTGCCAAGGAACCCTGCGTCAGGGCTATCACTCCAAAATTCCAAACCCAGAGGGGACTGGACAGATTAAACACATTCACTGAATAGTTTTATGTTCTAACATTCAATTATTTTCTTTTATTTGAAAAGCTAAATTACAATTTTCAGTGTAAAAATACCCACTGAAATAATTGAGAATGAAGGGAGTAAAAATGCATTCAACCTACTGAAAAACGCTGCTTTGGAATTGTACAGGTATGGTATGACAAAAAGAACAGAATACCCGCACAGCATAAGACCACTCCAAAACCATTTTTAAAATCTGGATATTCATCCATCTGAAACATTTTCTAATATATCTCATAACAAATTTCTATACCTTACAGTCAAGTTCAAATAAACACAGTAGTTACCAGTAGGAGAATGCATACACAAAAAAAACCCAAAAAAACAAAAAAAACAACACCTTGCCAAAGACTCCCATCAGCCAATTTTTTTCACCTAAATATAATTCAACTATTGTCTCCTAAGGAATTTCAAAATATCTTCAGAGGCATCAGTTACCCTTAAACTATGAAAATACACAGAAAACTGTTCTCGCGAACTGAAAGATGTGGACGAAGAATGATTATTTTCTACAAAGGGTAAAGTCTACTCAAGAGTCAGAAATAAAGGTTGTTACATATATATGACTCAGAATTTAAAGAGAATTATGTTGGCATCTGTAGAAGGCTAGAAGATAAGGGGCCTATGGATATGCTTGAAATACCGATACCAAGATAGCCATGGAGCCAACTAAGGACTGTTAGTAAAAACAGCCAAGGACTTTTGCTAAAAAGAACAAGATGTGGCTGGAGAAGGGGCCATATAGAATAAGGGCAGCCCTGTTCTGGGACAAACATCCTTGTTCTGTCTCCTGAAGATAAGCACAACACAGTACAGCAGAGGCACAGAAACGAGGTGGAGAACGAGACTGTAGCAGGAGGGAGATCAAGACCACCACAGACCTCCAATGCCTTACCCATTTCCAAAAAAGTCTAGAAGAATGGACTATGCATGACGACTAATTCATTCAGAAAGTGCAAAATTTATCTCTAGGGCACGGGAAACTTATCTGTACAAAGTACGCCCACCAAGCTCCAGGACTCTGGACACCTTGTCAGTTGAATTGATGCTGGAGCCCGGATTAGTGATCTCATTCTCCCCTTCTCCTTTCTCTTTCCCCTTCTCTAATTCATCTCTCTGTCTTTTCCCTTTCACTCTACCCCTTTATCCAAAACCCACTGCCATATGCTTATACTAGAGGGTCAGGGACTAATACCAATTTCCAAGCCAAGTCTGTAATTTACTAATAAAACTTTGTAAGCTTTTGTGGACTCTCTGATTTTGTCATTCCTTTCAACCACAAGCATCTACAAGTCTTGGGTGCTCCCTTCTCCTTGAGGATGGGATGCCATAGCATCTCAGATGCTGTCAATTTTACTTCATGATTTTTGAAAGTGACAATTGCTTTCATATACATGAGTAAATCCTCTCAATGAAGCCAAAGTTTTCAGAGTCACTTGTTTCCTCCCTTTAACCTACTTCAACTTTTTTTCAGGTGAAATGCTAAAATCCTGGATACATTTTACTACAGTGGTCAATAAATGAAATTAAAATAGCTGTGTCTTTGCAACAGTTATACATATTTCTGAACCGAAGTGCAGACTAACTTGTAACATTTTTTGAGAGGTCTCTTTGCTAGGAATCTTATTTAGGCATTCTCTGTAATCAGAATATATAACAAAACTCTTCCAGCTAGGCTTCTTTTACTCTCAAAGGCTAAAATGTGATGCATACCACATCTATTCACCGAGTACTACAAGTGCCTAGCAGATTAAAAACCTTAACATTTAAACACCTTAAAGTGACTGAAGTTTAAAGGATGGATGTGGAACTAAGAACAGTTAAGATCAGAGCAGTATTTCAGCAGGTCCAAAAGCATGAAGTTCAAATACACGCTTAGTACAGCTAACCAATCATAATTTTATCCCTTCAACAGTTTATAACCTTTGCTTTAGAAACAAATGGTACATATTTACATTCAGTACTTCTTTAGGAAGATGGAGTCCATTTCTTTTTCCCACTTGGACTGATTTCTCTAGATATCGCTTTGTTTCAGGCTTTACATTTTCAAGATTGCAGTTTTGCTGAAATGACAGAACAGAATACTTGAATTAACACAGTTTAAGAAACATAACAAACATTAGAAGTGTCTGAACAGAGTTGTTCTTTAGAGCACTGTCACAGTAAAAAAGGAACATGCCTTTTTAGTGTAAAGGACTTCCCCAAAACAGTTACCTTACACAATAGTATTCTTATATCAATGCAGAATGATTTTAAAGTTTTGGTTTTTTTTACCAAGTAACTCAGCACTTTTACATGCTGTCATCATGGCAAGCCCTTTTAGTTTTCACTCCAGTGCACTTCAGCTTTTTCTGTAGAGATAGTTTTCACATACACACTTCAAGAAAATCAGTGGTATAAGGTAATACTGTACCTTATAAGTCAGAGGGATTGAAAAAACTCCCAAACGATTAGATGTGTCACTGAAGGTTATCAGATGGCATAATATTTGAGCATATACATCTTTTTTTTCTGAAACAATCAAGCAGTGACAACAAATAAACAGAATCACAGAATATTCTGAGCTAGACGGGACCCACAAGGATCATCGAGTCCAAATCTTAAGTGAATGGCCCATGTAGAAATCAAACCTGCAACCTTGGTGGTGGTAGCACCATGTTTTAACCAACTGAGCTAAAAACAATATTTCTGTGTTATGCCATTACAAAGACTCTTGAATCACCATTTCATAAAGCATCAACAATAAGAGACAGGACAGTGTTTACAACAAAACGTGTATCGGTCCTGTGCAAGTCTTCCTTCAAACTGACTACAGCATAACTGTTTAACTCAGAAACTTGCTATTTTGTCCTAAATTGAAAATAATGGTGTACACCTTTTAATTTTATCTTCTCTCATCTAAAAGGAACATTAAAAAAGTTATTAAGTTGGTAAAAAGGACATATTGTATTTAAGTTCACATTCAAATACGAAGCCGTTGGAATTAGCTATGACTTGTCTTAACAACCTCTCATCCGTTTACCTACACACAAATTAATGCTTGACTAGCATCTCTGAAAAGCACGGATGTTGAAACACGCAAATTTTATGAACGAGTCACACAACTGTGTAGAGCTGTCAACTAATGACTTGTCAGTACAGAATACCTCACTTCCTTAAATAGAAAAATTAAGAGACAGGAACGTAGCTGTATTCCAAGAAAAAAAAAGTATAAATAAGAACTCTGAAACAGATTTTTGTGTCATTTAAAAATAATCTACACAATAACAGAAATATTATCTACTCCTGCCAGTGCCCTGCACATAAGATTAGAAAATTTGTGGAAATTGGTTTCTAGAACCATGAAAGAGTTTAGAATAGCTTAGTTTTGTTTTTACTCTGTGCCTAAAACTCTAATGCATATAACAGTAGTCTACATTCAAAAATTTATAAGTCTGGTGAAACAAAATGACAGTTATTTCACTTTGTGACAAACTAACTTTTCTAAAGCAATAGGTAGACTTAACTTAGTTTACTTACTGTCACAGGAATGATGAATATATTTTTCTTTTTTATATTATGTGTTTACAGGTAATTTTTATAAGAATCCATATTTTCATGGAAAGATGATCCTACTACTATAGGTCACCACACAGCTGAAGTAAACGACAATTCAACCAGGTGACTGCATGGAGTACCCCTCACTAGACCTATGATTTTTTTGCACCTAGCACCTAGATATCACTTTTGTTTGTTTGTTTTTAAATAAAAGGATGTAAATGGTAGAAATCTCTTTTTGGGAGGAAAGTAACTGAAGAAAATCATGACTCAAACCTCATATCTCCATTCTCATTCCCAGTAAATGTGTAAGGCAAGTCACACAGAATATTTCATAACACGAAGATAAAAAAAATGCTATTGCCCTACTCCCTCCAACACTTGAGTCTCCTGTTGTGTTTCTGGCAAATAACACTCTGAAATTCTGCTGCTTCACGAAGATCTTCATGCTACCAAAAGCACTACATCTAGGAGTGTCAATGCTATAATACTCAGTACAAAAATAATTCACATATTGTTTTTCCACTGGACAACCCACAATTCCAGGGTTCTTTTTTCTGACCTAAGACTAAGTGTGATAGAAATAGCACACCTTCAAAATGACAGAGGTGAAAAATGCAGACACTGCCACTATATTAACATTTATATTAGGCTAACTCCTAGACTCAAAAACAGAAAGGCTGAGGAAAAAAAATTAAGTATGCTAAACTCTACAAAAAGCCAATGCTTTTATTACAGTAACAGTTTAAGACAGAGGATTGTGAAAAGCCTCATTGAGCTATTGAGGCACTATGCTGGATCTTCCAGTCCTTCTATTGGGCCTATGGAACTGTCATGCTCCTGAAAATATCCTGCGCCCAAATCCAGCAAAGATTTTAGGTGGAAGAAGGGAATTCACAAACACTAATTTTAAGCCCTTAAAGCCAGTGAATACTGGTTCCTCCTAAAGTTAAGACAGACGAAGATTCTTTTGGGTAAAAAGAGAAGAAAAACTAAGTGTTCTTCATCTTTTTCTGGACGACTACACATTTCTGCATACACTTTAACACTAATTAGGCTTTGTGAAGTTTATCTGCATCACAGATATGCTTAAGGTAAGAATGATACACACTCAAAAAGACATCTCAGGTCTCTATGGATAAGCAAGCCTATAAACCTTCACAAGCACAGGAATCAAGAGTGCTCTGGGGCCATCTCTGAACTTTGGTCTGATCAAGATGGTCTTCATCACCTGTATTTTCTCTGATGAACAATTTCCACAATAGAAATACTAATTTTGAGTATACTACACACATGAAATGTTGGAACTCTCAAGAAGTTTTAGAATTGTTGTGTTTGATGATTTTATATACCATTTCATACTTCTTTGGGGCAACATGTTACTTCTTCCAGGAAGAAATCTTCAGGCAGAGTAAGAAACAAAACCTACCTGGAATTCCATGAACAAAGCCTGCAGCAGCTGCTTACAACAGGCTGTTTCCTGAGGGCATGTGGGTGGAGAAGACTGTCAACATTCTTAAGCATGCCTCTGCTAGTCAGCATGTGCAGATATCAGGAGTAATAAAATTTAAAATGATACTTTCACTACCAAATTCACTTTTACTCCAAGTTTCAAACCTCTAAACAAATAAGATCTGAAGCATATTCAACAACATAATTTTATGCAGGAATTTTTTCCCCTATCGTGTCAGGAAAAGAAAGAGATTGCATTATTTTAATATTTTCTCAAATTAAATACAAAACCCTCAATCATTTTTCCTCGATCAATAGTTCTTAAATAAAGCATAATCTAGAAAGAATACTAAACAGTTGTTAGCTTGTAAAAGTTTAGCCCTCATTAAGGGGAGCAAAAACATTCAGGATATCACTGTGATCAAGCAGATTTACAAGTCTCCTAGTGGACTGTGTTATAAAGAACAGAGAAGTGTGAGGGCCCTCATTCTCCTCATCTCATTTTAATCTGGCCACGGTGCAGGACTGAATTCATCTACCTGAACTATTAAATCCCCAGTGAGGCCATGAAAAACCTGATTTCATGAAAATGTTTTAATGCCTTATTTGAACTGATAAATTAATTTCAGTAGAAGTTTGAAGTCTGTTTTTCAAAGTTCTTTTTTTATGTGTTTTTTTTAATGTATTCCTGGAGCCTGACTTTTTAGCTAGGAGATTCTAACAGGAGAAGGCATTAGAAATTCAGCAAAAATTAACAAAAAATGTATGATTTGGAAATAGCAAGATTTCACCAGTCTGGCATTATTGGCAATTTCACAGTTGTGCTACGGCAAAACTGCTACTACTTTAACAGTTATTATGAAGCTGATATATGCTCAGAGGTTGCATCTCTGGAAAACTAATACTAAAACATGCTTGCATGCTGCAGTTAAGCCAAGAAAAATGTCTAAAAATACTGAAGGGAGATTTAAGCAACAATTCTAACTGTCATAAAGGCCAAATATTGCTGCAAAGGTAAATGACAGGAAAACACCAAATGAAAGAGTTAAAAAATTTTAAGGAAGTAGTAGTAGCAAGTAACAGTAATCAGTTTTCACTAACTACTGTCAGATATCCTTGTAAATTAAAAATAGACAGATTCAGAGATATTGCAGATCTGCCCTAAATGTACTTGCATATATTATACTGGATGTTGGGGAAAACCACAGCAAATAATAAATACATATCAAACCATTTAATTACTAGCCACAGAGCAGGGGAAGAAGAAAAATATCAACATAAAGCACTATATGCCAACACACAACTGAATGGGGCTATTATATACCTGTACAAACACATAAGCAACACCCAGCTAGAGGAGAACATTTGAAAGCTTCCCTGGAAAAGACAGCAAAAGAAGACAATGGTATTGGAAGGCAGTTTAATAAGGCACTGCAAGCATTATTCTGGTTCTCAGTCAACACTGCAAAAAGCACAAACAACAACTCCAAGAAGTAGGGGCTCCAGTATCTTATTAGCATTACAAGAAGGTTAAAAATTAGTGGGGTTTGAAAGGGAAGATTCACATGTAAACCACAGGAAAAAAAAATATTTTAGTTTTCATATTTGATAGCTTCCTTGTATTATCCTTAAATCAGACTTTTGGAAAATTATTACTAAATGTCACTAGATTTGAACAAAACCAAATATTCTTCCCATTTGAGCTACAAAATAATTAGTACAAATGAAGAATACAAGATACCTAAGGGTGCTCAATTAGAAGAGAAGCTAAACAGAAAAACAAAAGGGGTAGAAACTAGTTCAACAGGAAAAGCATTTTTTGACATAGTTTTATTTTCTGGTCAAAGCAACTGATGAGCAAAAGTATACAGTGTAACTGTCTATAATGAGCAGGTCAAAAGAGGTAATTTCAGAGGTCACTCCAAGTTATATGTTCTCATTAATCTTCATAACTTAAAACAACTTCTAAATTTAAAATTCTTAACTATTTCAATACAGTGTAATTTTGGACACAAATTGAAAAACAGTATAAGCCAATGTAAATACAGTGCTGTATTGCCTCTTCCTTCCCTCTTGGAATGAGTTCAGGGAGCTCAGCCAAAAGAAAACAAAATAATGCTTCTCCTGATAGGTTTCCTTCTGTTAATTTAGCTTCCAGATTAACCAGATCATTGGAAGACTAAAGATAAAATGGAGAAAAGGATACAGAGACCTTGATATGGCCTGCAAAGAGTGGAAGCACCAAGGTAGATTGTTTTCTGTTGTATAGCTGTGTGCCACTGGAAAGATTCAATTGGCATAGACAGAGAGGAAACACAGAGTGCTTTTGAAAATCACTGGGTATAAGAACAAATTTTAGATACATTTAGATACATAACAAGTTATGCAGACATCACCATGATTTACCTGTAAATAAACAATCTTCTGAAACACATCTTCTCTCATGCTCATCTCCACATCAAAATTAGAAAGCTTTTTGTCAGCTTCTGTACTTGCTAAGCGTACCTCTTTGTCAGGTGAAATGTGCTGGGGAAAATCCAACATACTTCTTTCCACTGTTTAAATAAGAAGCAATGAACACAGAAGGTTAGACATGCCTTAAGGATAAGGAACTTTCCCCCTTCTGACATTTACAGAAGACATAAGAAACAAATATCCAAAGCAACTTGATGCTTCAGATCAGGCTTGAAGCAAATTGTTATTACATATAAAGTAAAAATTAATAGGCAAAAGGACAAAACCACACACCATAGTAAAAATAAAAACATTAGAGAAGCTATCTATTACCCAAGCCTAATTATCTCATTGTCTTCCACAAAATCAACTGAAAGGTGTATAAATATGATACAAATAGTTCATCTTCCAGAAGTCATGTAAGTGAAGACTGACATTGTTTCATAGCTGGCACAGATGCTTCCATGTTAGCACTTAAAGTCAAAAGCTCTGAATCTTTCAAACATGCCCATCTGTCCTGAAGTTATTTTTATATTGTTATGAGCTCAGTGTTAAATCCCCATGTACTGCACTCTTCTGTGTTTAAGGCAAACACAGAAGATACTATGTATTCTGAACTTTTAGAAATTAGAAGCTGAGTAATATTATTTTTTTAGAATATACTTTTGAGATTAAGTAAATCCTTGCTTATTAAAGGATTAATGAGGTTGAATAGAAATCCTGAAGTAGAAATCAATTCACCTAATTAAAAATCAGTTATAATGTCTCTACCCTTTACCTCTCCAAAACTACATTTTAGAGTAACAACATTTTAGCAACACCATTTTAGCCTGATTTAAAGCTTTGTAATTTTATGTAATGTGCAGTTGTTTTATCAAGTCCTGAGATACTCTCAGCCCTTCAGAAATCTCTGGAATGCAAACATGCGCGTATGGTTCTTCTTGAAGTCCATAGGAAACTTTCTCCTCCACATCCTGCCCTCATGCCAAAATGTTCAAAAATGATAAGGTGAGTTTAGGCAGTTTCCAACTGACTTGTAAGGCCTGTTGTCATCTCTGTTTTCTGGGATAATAATTTCCAATTACTAGGGCAGGCCTTTCATGGGGAAGGAACACACTGGCTTTAAATTCTAAGGTTCTAATGGAAGTCTTGCTGTGGTAATGTTTATTATATGCCATGGGCTATTTCACAGTAAGTCATGACAATGTCACATATAGCTTTGAAGATTAGCATTAAAAACTTAAACGTGACCCATTATGGCAATAGCATGTAGTGAAAAAAGTATATTTTGGATCAACTCTTAGTGGCTATGCTGAGAAGCTGATACCCATTATTTTCCACATCAAACAAGTGTTTCCTTCTAATTTAATTTAAAGAAGAGAGTTTTACGCCTTGGTGAAAAGGCTTACAAAAATTATACCAAATACATTGGTACAATTAAAACTGAGTCTGACAGGAATTTGTCTGAATGAAGATTACTCAGTCTTTCTGCCAGCAAAAATTCCAGCCAGTTCACTGTATGTGCCTAAACTGCAATTTTAAGTAATGTGAAAGCCAGACTAATATTACAGTACCATAATTTGAGCTGCAGGCTGATCTTGTTTGCTAGTCAAAGCTTTTCCTCCAAGCCAAGGTTGCTGTTTTCAGCACTTCTGTGGCTACTGCAGATTTTTTAGAGTATTTAAAAGAACTTGACATTTATTACACTGACTGCTTGTAAGTAATGCAGCCACCATCTGACAGGTTTTTCAAAACAAAGCCACTGAAGACAGGGTTCATATTTTTCCCACTCCTCTGACTGACAATTATTAACAAATTACCTCTATAACCTGTTTTGACCATCAAACTCCATCCATACACTGACATGTCTGGATAACTCAGAACAATCTAGATGTGAGTGCATGATGAAACTCTCCCCGGATTCTACAAGGCCTTGCAAGCCATAATACAAAGGTAAGCAAGTAAAGCAGTCTTCTTTCAATAATGCATTCAAAAATTCCTTCATTCTCAACCATCACATTTTCTCCACTAGCGGTTTACCAACCTTTCCATTGCTTCATTTGACTCACTTGTCTCACATTCTGCAGTGTCTGAAAAAAAGCACTGCTTACCAGGTTTAATGTATTACACATACCAAAGGCACTGTACACTGTCCCCTGCACAGAGTTGGAAAAGAAATCCGGGGACCAATGCAGTTCTCTGCACGTGTCAAAGACATCAACAGCACAGTTTAGTCAATCCCTGTTTTTATCTCTAGAATAAAAGAGTAGAACTTTGTAGCTGATCCTGTTACATATTGCTGAGAGGTCCTGAAAGATTATGACCAGAGGACTCTTGAGAGGCCTCTACACATTCTACACAATAACAGTAGGGATCAAAATTGTAAGCAATTACTATTTTTTTCTCACTGTTTCTTTACACACAGATGGAATGCCCTATAGAAAGAATCACAAAAAATATACACTAACCTGCATATTCCACTTCTATGTCTGCCAAAGCTCGTACAGTATTTTCATGTGTTACTTCTTCAATATCAAGCATCCCGACTCTGTCATAGACATGCTTTGTCTTCCTGATAAGTTCTTCTGTTCTTGTTCTAATTTCCTCTGGTGACAGGTCCCATCTCAAAAGGTTTCGGCCTGATGCTATGTACGAAGAAGCTTTAAGCTGGCTAGTAATTTCTGTTCCTAAAGTCATCCTCAACACAAGCAGTGGCCCAATGGACCTAGAAGTATAAAATTGATCTTTTCATAGCAAGGTTCTAGTTCAAGAGATAGTGTACAGTAAACATTAAAAAACTCAGCATCAGTATATTTTTAGAAGCAAGAACAAAGTCCTTTTTAGAGCCATAGCTTGCCCAGCAAGCTGTTACTTTCATGAATTAAGTCTAATTTTAAATAAATCTGCCTTCTATCTTTTCCATTTAGGATATGACTAAGTGCAAACAGGGACAAAACCTTTGCTATTGACCAAACCATACAGATTAAGCTACTACTAACCCTTCTAAGAAAAAGAGAATTGCAGTTACTGAAACTTCACAGATAGCACTTGTATTTTTGAAGTAAGGAATAAAACCCACATATTGATTTGCAGATGATGAACAAGAAGACTGCAAAGATGCACAACATAAGACATGAAACACATCACTTGACCATGTTCATTATGGTAAATAATTTTACATTTATACAGGATGTCTGCAACATAATCAACATGGAAGGAAAACTTCTAGTTGTTACTCACTTGCAAATGTATTCCTTTAATTGTTGTGGATTTTAAATAGACGGTTTCACTCGTTTGCCAGAAGAGGCATATATGTTTACTGCTTACTGGAATTTATGTACTATTAAACCTGATTATATAAATCAACTGTATTTCAGCTTTAGCTAGGAGAATAATTTACATATGCAACCGATCTTAGTGTGCTAGGCAATCAATGGCTTTGACAGTATTAAAAAAGTGACTTGCAGCAACGAATCCAAACATGTTAAGAAGAAACTGGCTTCAGAAATACAAGCTTCTACCTTTCCACTGCAACAAACCAACACTCAACTTGGTTGTACAAAGGAGAAGGATATAGAATCAGGCAACTGACTGAAGTGGGGCTAATAGAAACCCACAGAGCCAGCAAGGTGTCCACCCAGCGACTACATCAGTAGCTCAGTTATATATGAAGTAGTTGCTGAGGAAGATAATAATTTGATGATAATTAAAAGACAGCCTGCATTCAAGGAGTAAAACTTGCTGCAGTGTTTACTATCACAGGAAGATCACAAGAGCATCACATGAGAATCTCTGCCTGTCAGAGACTTACTGTGTTCCTATTTCAGCCACATAATTAAAAAAAAATCTTATGTTGTTATGTAATATTGACAACTTAAAATTTTCAGCCATAACTAAAGAAACACACAGAGAGCTTCCTACAAAAAGAGATGCTTAATTAACACTGTTTTACATTAAGTAACTTTTTCTCTTAATGCTAGCCACTGTATCTGTATTGATTTTATTGTAAAATCTGACTGGTATGTCCATAAGTGAATGAACAGGTTCTGGCATACAGTGCAGAGAGCAAGAAGGATAGGCAATTTTTGACTGAAGGAATAACAAAGCAGAAGACTGAAATGCCAACAAACTAAAAAGGGCTGCACACATGGCTTTTGTTTGAAGGGAAGACATTTTGTTAAAAAAGGGAATTTCTGTAGAAATAGCTTAGCCAAAATTATTTTTATGCAAGACAAAACCAAAAGACAACATTTCTATCTACACTTTAAGTTGAAATTTTATTTTCCTTATTTTTCAAATCCTTCCATAGCAATGTAGGCAAGTTGTTTACTCTTCCCTTCTCCTGGGAGAAAGAAACATCAGTGTCCAGAAATACTGATGATTTCACTTAGAAAGTGAAGTCTGAACACAGAACATTTGTTCCACCTCTGTTCTTTCTCTCTGATACCAACTGACTTCTGGCATTAATGCCTTAGTAGCTTCTCCACTGGACTACTGACATTTGGAATCTCAGAAGTCTACAATAAATGAAGCTGTTCTCATGAAAGCAAAAGGTTAAGTATTAGCATGCTCAGAACGCATTAGTTTCCATCTCCAAAACCCACGGAACTCTACCTTAAATCTACAAATCCATTAAAAAACACTACTTCATTAAGTCACAAACAGATTCCCACTGGACTGCCCTATGTCTAGTTTTTCACACATTGCTAGCACAGCCCTAGTACAGCCTCTTGGAAGCTGAAGGGGAACCTCCTCAAAAATAGTTCAAGGCTCTGAATTCTATCCCACACCACCCATCCCAAAGAACATCAGGAAAAATACACTGTGTTCCGAATTAAGGTCAAAATAAAAGAGTTAAAGGAAAACAACAGCCTGAACAACACAAAAGTATGCTAAAGTGCAAGATATTAAACAGATGCTCTTTTTTAAAGGGAACCTACGGCTTTCTGTCATTCAGTATCTTCACCTAGATGCGTGGAAAACAGAGCCCTGTTGTCAATGACCAATTACATATTATTGAAACCAAACACTATAACAGGCACAGGACCAACAGATTGCATTAATTGCAGCCTGTCCAACTAGATTAATTAATAATTAAAGTTGGACTGAGTTCATAAACTTGAGTGCAGGATCCCTAATTACTGCACAGCACTATTTTTAAATTTGACTTAAAATTGATTTTTTTAGTATATTGTCTAGTTGCATTGAGACATACACATATAAATTTGACAGCTGTATAAATTATCGCCATAAATCCCAACAAGTTTTTGTCTGCCTGTTGGAAACAAGAAAACACAGACCAGCCCAGTTTTGAAATGCAAATACCTTGTCTCCTGCTGATAGGATGAAGCAGTCATTTATGTATATTATTTTTAATAATAATAGGCAGTACAAACTCAGAAAGACCTCCAAGTTTTTCTAACTGGCCAAATGACAATGGGTCTTCAAAAACTGTAACATAACATCTCATATAACACCAGTCACTACATGTCATGCTTCAAATAACCTTTTACACACATGTTGGTACTGGCTACCAGTCAATCAGATGTCCTTGTACTAAAGACCAAATTAACTGACATCAGATTAATGGAAACAGCGTGCAAGTATATATATATATATATGCACAGGTGAAATTTTGGCCATTTCTTTCACAGATTAGTATTTTGAATTATTTATCCATATAAAACTATAAAGAAATAAATTCCCAAAACTTCGTGTACCATACTGCAATAAAATTGATAATTTACTAACTTTACCTTATTTGTTCAAGAAAGAAACAAATAAACAATGCCAAGATTAAATTCTATAAATAGACTACAAAGAAACAAGAAAGAAGAATATAACTATAGTAGTAGGATGTTCAAAAACGCTCTGCAGTTACATTTGTCATGTTATTAGAGAGAAAATACTAAATTGTATCACTGAGGGAATCTTTAACTTCCCAGATATAAAATGGAAAATAAATTCTATTAATAATGGTAGGAACCAGATGGTTTTCTTCAAATACTGAACGAAGAGGACGGAATTATTATTTTAGGCTTGCTTTTGGTAAACAGCAGTAACAGTAGGGAAGAGTCAACTAATGCTTAGACTGAGAAATCAGAAGTTGACTCAGTTTAAATTAGATGGAAGGATGTGTGCCTTGCATTGACTGCTCCTAATGCCTGAACTGTCAAGTTCAAACTGTTTCAGCTATGATGCTCAATTTTCTGTGGTGCAGTGTAGAGCACTAGATAGATGTAAACAAGTCTGGGTTAAGGATAAGGTTCATGTCCAGCAACAGTATTTCCTTAAGACATTCTTCTGTCAGTGTTCCACCCTCTGTTGCTCATTTGTGTCCTTGTACACCACTCTGTCAATGGCAGCAGCATAACTGTTGTTAGGGTCATACTTTGAAAAGATTCAAGACAGCATACAGGTGAAAATAGAGCGGACCAAAAAAATTCAGGGGGGACAGCTTTTTTTGTGCTAATCAGTCCCATCACCTCTTTGATGTATGACTTCAAAACAACTGTGTTGGGCTAAATGAAAGCTACAAAGTGTCAGTAGCCACTTAAGCCTGCACTAGTGCTAGAAGCACATACGAAATGCATGAACTTAGTCTAGCAAAAAGAGTCTCCAGATGATTGCTCTCATTAAGCATATACGATGTAAATGTCCAGAAGTTTAAAGAGCTATTGATGCTAAAAGACAATACTGACATAAGAACAAATTAGAATAAATTGGTCAAGAATACATGTAAGCTGGAATTGCAAGACATTTGTAAGCATCAGGGCAGTGAGATTCTGAAACAGATGCCAAATAAGCACCAGCAAGTGAAAACATCTCTATTTATAACATGGTGCTTGACCAATTAATAAAATGCATAATGTTACTTGGTTACCTAAGATAGCACGAGACTAGATCATCCTAAATGCCCTTCCAGCCCCTATGTTCCTCTGAGGTCCTTCAAAATTAATGTCATGGCTGGGCTTCGCAAACTAAGATTTGAGAAGGCTTTATCCACGTTTGTTACAGGCATGTTGGTGACTTATGAGGCCAACACGTGACAGACATATTCGATTGCAGAAAGCACAACAGAAAGACTCCTTAGATGGTGTATTCTGCAAGACACGGTTCTTTCTGCGTTGTCTTTTCTCCTCGAGAGTGATCCTGCGTGTGTTCTCAAAGGCATCCGCAGCGTTATAGATGGTGTGTCTCCAGGCCTCCCGATTGGAGGCCAGAGTAGACCAGTTATGGTGATCAATATGGCCAAGGCTGAGATGTTGTTTCAGGGAGTCCTTGTATCTTTTCTTCGGGGCTCCTCTCTTGTGGCAGCCAGTGGCAAGCTCACCATAAAGCAAGATCTTAGGGAGGCGGTGGTCCTTCATCCTGGAGACGTGCCCTGCCCATCGCAGCTGTGTTCTCATCAGCATGGCCTCAATACTTGTGACTGCTGCTTGCTCAAGAACAGATGTATTGGTCACATAATCTGACCAGGGGATGTTTAGGATTGTACAGAGACAGTGTTGATGGAAGCGTTCTAGGAGACGCAGGTGGTGGCGGTAGACGACCCATGATTTGGAACCATACAGGAGAGTAGACAGCACAATGGCTCTGTAAACACTGATCTTGGTGCTTTTCTTCAAGTGTTTATTACGCCAAACTTTTTTGTGGAGTTTTCCAAAAGCACTATATGCCTTTGCCAACCTCTTGTCTATCTCTCCTTCAATCTTACCATCTGAG